AAAAGCCAAAATTGACAAATGGGATCTAATTAAACTAAAGAGCTTTTGCACAGCAAAAGAAACTACCATCAGAGTGAACAGGCAACCTACAGAACAGGAGAAAATTTTTGCAATCTACCCATCTGACAAAGGACTAATATCCAGAATCTACAAATACTTAAACAAATTTATAAGAAAAAAAATCAACCCCATCAAAAAGTGGGCAAAGGATATGAACAGACACTTCTTAAAAGAAAGATTTATGCAGCCAACAGACACATGAAAAAATGCTCATCACCACTGGTCATCAGTAAAAAGTCAGGAAACAATAGGTGCCGGAGAGGATATGGAGAAATAGGAACGCTTTGACACTGTTGGTGGAAGTGTAAACTAGTTCAACCATTGTGGAAGACATTGTGGCGATTCCTCAAGGATCTAGAACTAGAAATACCATGTGGCCCTGTGATCCCATTACCGGGTATATACCCAAAGGATTATAAATCATACTACTATAAAGACACATGCACACGTATGTTTATTGTGGCACTATTCACAATAGCAAAGACTTGGAATCAACCCAAATGTCCATCAATGATAGACTGGATTAAGAAAATGTGGCTCATATACACCATGGAATACTATGCAGCCATAAAAAAGGATGAGTTCATGTCCTATGTAGGGACATGGATGAAGCTGGAAACCATAATTCTGAGCAAACTATTGCAAGACAGAAGGCCAAGCACTGCATGTTCTCACTCATGGTTGGGAAGAGAACAGTGAGAACACTTGGACACAGGGCGGAGAACATCACACACTGGGGCCTGTCATGGGGTGGGAGGAAGGGGGAAGGATGGCATTAAGAGAAATACCTATTGTAAATGACGAGTTAATGGGTGCAGCACACCAACATGGCACATGTATACATATGTAACAAACCTGCACATTGTGCACATGTACCCTAGAACTTAAAGTATAATAAAAAAGAAAAACAGAAAAGAAAAAAAAATTTGTTGTTGCTTATCTGAAATTCAAATTTAACTAAATTTTATCTGGCAGCCCAGTGTCCTGAGAACTCTAGCTTCCTTTACTTCTCTGGACTCCTATTTTTGTCTCCTCAACTCAGGAGATTCTCCAGGCTCTGCCTGAGTTCCCACTCATTGTGATGTATCCTGGACACACTCTCATGCCAGTAAACTGATGCCACTACAGGGCTCAAAGTTTTGTTTCCTGACTCTCAGATTGTTGTCCTTTGTTTTCAGATGCTCATTATCTTAAAACATAATTTTTCATATATTTTGTCCTTTTTGGTTGTTTCACACTGGAGAGCAAATATGGTCTCTGTTACCCTGTCTTTGGTTGAAAGTGGAAGTCTGTATCCAGAGCTTATTGTTTATAGCCAGGATTCAGAACATGGTTCTAACCAGGGCCAAAAATGTATGTTCGATCCCTTCGTAGGCAAGTGTGTAGTTTGCTTTATAGTTTTCATGCAATTAACTACTGAAAAAAAATAATTCTTTGTATCATAAGGGTGCCTGGTGATTATGAGTGTTCCTCACTACTGTTAGGAAATTGATTAGAAGTGAACATCTGCTAACAAGAGAATGGGATGGGCCACTGGGGTTATTACCAAGTACAAAACATAAATTGGCACATTACATTATATTACATTGATTGTCAGAATTTGAACCAAAACACAGATTTGGCTGGGGGTCAAATCTTGGAGGCCCAAATTTTATTTGGAGTCAGGGCCAGAAAGACAAATCTGATAGAGTCAGGGTGGTCAAATTGGGGCCATAGAGGAATTGAGGAAGATGTAAATTATCTTATTCCTTGTTCAATATTCAGTGATGTTCTTCCTAGGGAGTTCTGGAAATAAAAATAAAAGCATGTCCTCTCTCTTCTCTTTGGTTTCTCTTGGTCTAGCTATATGCCGCTATCCTCTGGGCATGTCAGGAGGCCAGATTCCAGATGAGGACATCACAGCTTCCAGTCAGTGGTCAGAGTCCACAGCTGCCAAATATGGAAGGTAAGGATGGTTACATCAAGAAAGCCCATGTTCTGGGGTTGGACAGATTTCCTGGGGACAGATTCCTGACCCTAGGGGCTGGGAAAGGTGACGTTATTGGCAGGAACTGTTGAGAATGAAGGACAGACAGCAAGTGGGCCTGTCCTGCTCTGTATGTTTTCAGGGAGAGAATTCAGGGCTTAGCCACATGTACTGGTCTGGCAGCCCCATCTCAACCACAGAGGCCCCAGGGCCACATTATCCACAGTGAATGGGTTAATTGATAGGAAGTGGATTTGCTTTCCCTGACTTTCTCATTTGGAGCTGCTGCAGGAAGCAGGCAACAGTGGCAGCTATGGGAAGGTGCAGATTATGTAGGACACTGGGAGTTAGCGTCCACTCCTCTTCTCAGTGGGTCTATGAAACATCACTCACTGCAAAGCATCACTTACTGCAAAGCATCAAGACACTAGGGCCTCCAACAAGTTCTCCCCCTCTCTCAAGGATGTCTCACATAGAAGGGTTACCTTTGCCAACAGAGTGTGGCAGTTTCCTGGGGTGATTGATTTCAGGGGTCTTGTACATCAATAAACTCCCTACTGCTCTACTGGTTGGACCCAATACTCTTCCTGGCATCTAATTCTTTTGGTGTGAAGTATTGATTTTATTAAAATGGAATTACCCATAAGAAAAGCAATCCTGATGAAACTTCCCCATAATTTCTTAGTGTATGAAAGACTAGAGTGATGTTTGGTGGAACTGGAAGGGAGCAACAAATGAATGGGTAATATCTGTGGGAAAAGGGAGCATTCCAGGGGAAAGGGAAAGTGGTAGGAGGTTCTCAAAGTAAACTTTATAATAATTTCACAATTTTGGTCCATGGTAGCTCAGCCTGGAGGTAATGAAATGAAACCAGATTATTTACTACTTCCTTGACATGCTCTTCCCCCTCATCCTCCCCATGTGTGTCTATGGCTCCTTGCTGGTCTGCTGTGCCCATCCTGCAGCATTGCATAACCCACACTGGAGACCCTACTATCCCTCCTCCTTATTGCCATAATTTGATGTCCAAGCAAAGGGTGGCTAGCTTTGTTAGGCTGAGTTTGAAAGAGGGAAGGGAGATATGAAATGACTCATGGGGGAACAGAGGGTAGGAAGAGTTTTATTTCTCTTTAGACCTCTAAATCAGGATGGGGAATGAAGGCTATGTGTGATCTGAAGGCCTCAGCTCACTGGTGGGGACTGTCTCTCAGGGTCTCATGGTACTCCAGGGAAAGGGATCTGACCACAAATAGGTATTGTGGTGGCAGTGAAAACTGTGGCAAGAACCCAAAATGTTTATAAGGACTGGGCAGCCTGCTCTCTCCCCTCAGTACAGGGCAGCTGCTTGCCTGTGAACCAGTAAACAGCTCTGTGGTTTCTTGGTTGCTCCCTCTCTCTCCAACCCTCATCTCTCAAGGCTGGACTCAGAAGAAGGAGATGGAGCCTGGTGCCCTGAGATTCCAGTGGAACCTGATGACCTGAAGGAGTTCCTGCAGATTGACTTGCACACCCTCCATTTTATCACTCTTGTGGGGACCCAGGGGCGCCATGCAGGGGGTCACGGCATCGAGTTTGCCCCCATGTACAAGATCAATTACAGTCGGGATGGCACTCGCTGGATCTCTTGGCGGAACCGTCATGGGAAACAGGTAGGAAGCAGAGACATCCAGACCTTGGGATGTCCAAGACTGTGTTTAGACTTAGGCTAGGAGAAGAAGGGTACAGGTTGTCTGTGTGGGTATGTCTGTCCAGGGATTAGGCATGCCCTTGTAAATGTGTGACCCAGGGTGAAGGAGGCAGGGAAGGAATATCAAGGCTGTAGGGAAAGTGGAGTAGATGCATTCTGCTCCTCGAATTAAGAAGAGAGAGCCCATTGAAAATGTGGCAGGGTGAAGAAAAGTGAGCATGATTTAATATCACCTCTTCATTCGTTCTCTTCTCTCTCCTCAGGTGCTGGATGGAAATAGTAACCCCTATGACATTTTCCTAAAGGACTTGGAGCCACCCATTGTGGCCAGATTTGTCCGGTTCATTCCAGTCACCGACCACTCCATGAATGTGTGCATGAGGGTGGAGCTTTACGGCTGTGTCTGGCTAGGTAGGTCACTAGCCCAGGAAGCCTATAGACTTTATTAAAAACTCCAACTTCTGGGAAAATCAAATCAGAAAGGGATGGGATCAGTAACTCCTGGAATGGTGATTCCTTCTTGGGAAGAATAGAGACAGAAGCATTGCTCATTAACCCAGGGCTTGGTGCCCCCACACCGAGTCATGCATTCAGAGTCATTATGTTGACTGCCACTGAGGGGCGCTCCTCCGAAGTCCTCCCTGGGTGCCCAGATGGAGTCCTCCTGGACACTCTGTGCAAGCTTATACCCTTGAAACTCACATAGTTCCCTGGGGTAATGGGCCTGAGCAGTAGGCACTCACTTGGCTGTGTTTCCTTTGCAGATGGCTTGGTGTCTTACAATGCTCCAGCTGGGCAGCAGTTTGTACTCCCTGGAGGTTCCATCATTTATCTGAATGATTCTGTCTATGATGGAGCTGTTGGATACAGGTAAATCCTGGGAAACTTTGATTATTAAAATGGGAAATTAGCCACTAGGAAAGAATAATATTTTATCATGTCTTGGAATCAATAATCAATCAACCAATCAGTATTTATTTAGTTCCTGTACAAGGCATTTGGAGATAATTTAGATTAAGGAATATATATGACCTTTATTTCTAGGGAACTAAAAGCCCAGTTTGGGAAGACAAGTTAATTACCCAGAAAACAATCAATTATACAAAGCAAGGGCTAGAGTTTGTGATGGCTCTAAGTGTAATAGCCATATTTTTGACCCTCAAAACAGGACGTGTAGTCTGACACAAATATTGGCCTACTTATGGAAACAAAGGGCCAGAGAACTGAAGTACTAAGTATAATACTCTGGGTAAGTCAAGAAGTCAGAAAGAATAGACCTTATACATATAAATGCTTTGAAAATTGTAAAAAGCGGACTAGTAAGGCTTACAATAGACAAGGAAAGTTCTAGGCTAAGATGAGAATTATAGCAGAGAAAGGTAGGTAGAAGGTAGCAGAAGAAAGGAAGCAGGGCTGAAGGCAAGACTGGCCTGGCTATAGTAGAAGCTGGAGCTCAGAAGAACAGAATGGAACAATGGATAAGCCTGAAGTGCATGGATGGAGTGCCATGGCAAAGAAGTGTGACCAGATACAGTAGGAACTTAGGGCTGGGTACGGGATGCTCCCACCTATCCCATTCCACTTCAAGCCTTCAAGCCTTGCCATTCCACACTAACACTTTTCTCTCTAAGCTTGGTCTGTATCTGCAAAGTGAGCCTGGGAGAGAAGTCAGTTCATAGTGAAGACCAGATCAGATGATGGAGGTTGACAGGGCTTGAGAGAAGGAGATACTAGTGAATCTCAGGAAGGGAGTGTGGACTTACAGCCTTCCATTGGCTTAGGTGTGGAGAATGAACTATTGCTCTCTAGCTGCCATCCCCTGGGTGAAGGCCTGATTCATCCACTCTTCTACTCCTAGTCACTTCCTTTCCATCTTCTTAGTCACTGTTCTTTCCTTTTTGCTTAAACTGTCTTGGCATAATTTTGCTCAGTCACACCCCAACAGGCATGTATTCAAGGCATAGAGGAAATCAGAGATCAACCGAATTCAGTTTAATTTAATAAGCCTTTGTTAGTCAACTGTTACTATATACAAGGAATTTGGCCAGGCATGTTAGGTATTCAAAGGTAATGAAGTCATTGACCCTACCTTTAAAGAGCTCACAATTTGGAGTAGGGGCTAAAACAAAATATAAGTTATTATGATTTGAGTATATGAGCAAGAGATAGCCTATGATTGCTCTGGGGTTCAAAGGAAAAAGTAAACTATAGTAGGAAAGCACAAAAATGGGGATGAAAACATCTGGATTTTATATAATAAAAGTTACTTCTCTTTGCTACAAGGCTTAAGGGATTAAAATGTGTGTGAAAAGCATTTCATAAGATAAATTGCTGTACACATATAAGTTGTTATCTGATTATCATTTTTCTGACTGAAGGACTGCAAAGATATGGTAGAATCGATGAAATCTGAATTGGGTCCCAAAGAATGGGTACTACTTTCACAGATACAGATTCTTGAAATGGAATTTTAGGCAGAGGGAATAGCATGAGGAAAAAAGAATTATGGTTATAAAGTTTAGGGGACTGTCTGGGAAAATCAACAGTTTATTTAATGATGGGCCATATTTATGTGGCAAAGTAGTACAGGAGAAGCAAAACAAAGCAGATTATGCCATGTCTTGAAGGAACCTGAAGTCAAAGCCAAAAGGAGCAAGAAGTGGAGGAGGAGGAAGAGGAGAAGTTGCTGTTCTTGTTCTTCATAAACATTATCATTAATGTAATGAGTCATTGAAGATTTTTAAAGCTGAGGAAGGACATGATTGGAGGTGTGGTTTAGACAGATTAATCAAGCAGCATGCAAAGGTTAGATTGGAATGGAATGAGGAGGTGATGAGGAACATTTTAAAACTCTGAGTTCTGCCAAGTAAAAAGAATTAATGACCAAGGCCATAACCGTGATTGTGGGGAATGAGGAAAATATATTCATTTAGGGGACATTTGCAATCTGATTGGATGTATGGGGCAAGACAGCAGGGTGAGAAAAAGGGTCACATGAAGCTTGACAGTCTAAGTGACTGAAACAATGGAGATGACATGTATTTATTCAACAAATATATTTTGAGTGCTTACCATGCACCAAGCACTTTCCACTACTATGAAAGAGAAGTGTAATTTATGGAAAAGGGAAACCAAGGGGAAAGATTTAGTTCGGTAGGGTACGATGATGGATTTAGTTTGAGGTTTAAGTCTATGAGATTGACAAGACATTCAGTAGAGAAATAAGGAAGGTAGTCAGAATTATGGCTCTGAACTCCAAGGGAAAGATTAAAAAAATTACAAAAATGTAGACATAATGGCTTCATTTAATAATTGAGGTAATAAAATATCTGGTGGAGGTGGCTGAGTGAAGAGAGATGACATCAGAGTCTCAGGAAATAGTCATATTAGCAAAAGTTACTTTTTAAATTTAAAACAATTTCAAGAGTAATATATGCTTACTGGTGATTTTAATAACTCTAAAGTATATAAACATTGAAAACTTATTTTCCTATCCCTTCTTCACTTGATTTAATTTTGACTAAAGGGGAACTGAACAGGTATTCCTTTTAATTTCTGTTGCTTTTCATAAGACTTCCATGGGATTTATTTTTCTGGGGATAATGGGGAATATATTTATTGCAAGTAAACTTATGTTCTCCTAGCTTTCTGATCTGTAGAGAGAAGAAAAAGATGGCAAAACCTTGGAAGGGAGATCCAGGCTCTGGTCACTGTGGATAAGGCCAGTCAAATTTTATAATTTACCATACATTTTCAATGATTAAATATATTTTAAAAGGCTGGCATAATCACCCTTAGTATTTTTTATTTTTTGCGATTTACAAATTTTACCAATTATTGGTCTGGCTATAAACCTCAAGGGTCACACCCATTATTGCTTGAGGGTGAGTATCCCAATCTCATCATTTGGGAGATTTGTGTCATATCTGCCAGAGCTTGAGATGCACAGCTTGAGGAAAGACAAGTTCCACATGATGGGTTCTTGCTCTATGCCTCCATAAAAAGAAGAAAGGAGCCTCTTTGTGTTCTCCAAGTAGTCAAATAAGTATATATGCAGTTACATTCCATCCAGCAGTCAGGCTTCTGGCAAACTTAGCCTTTAAAACAGAGCCTCTTACTCAGAAGTCAAAGAAGACTGCTAAGCTAGAACACAAAACTAAATCCAATACCTGGGATTCTCATGACATCCATGCATCTTACTTCCTGGGTCTAGTATCCTATAAATTTAATTAAAATTAAATAGAAATTATTGTTTAAATTTGGAGCTGATATTTTCTCCCTTTCATTTAATATCAAATTAGATTGTTGGATATGTGGAATAGAAGAGAGTGTGACTGGATTCTCTGAAATTGATTCACTGAACAATGACAGCATGTAGTTAAAGGAGAGTCAGCACCAAGCTCTGGAAACATTTATTTGATAATGGGGCAAGTGCTACTATGTATGCTAGTATTTATTCTATGCATTTATGCATTTCATCATTTACTTAGTGAATTAATTTGTCAAATGCATTTGATAATATTGAGTCATTATGTGAAGACATATTCATTATATAAGAATAGGCAAGGTACAATAAATTATAGAAAGCTTTTCATATTAAATAAGATATTGTTTAAAGGTTTTACTACTAAAGGGGTAAGCATCAAATATTTTATAAAAATTACTAATATGAAATTCTTAATTCTCCATTGATGCAAGACAAATGAGTCAATACTGTAATACAAATGTGATTATTTACAGTCCTTCAATTTCAAGATAATAAGCTCATACAAAATCTGGAGTAAAGATGCTGGGTAAAAGCTCTTCCATGAATATGTGATTAACTCAGATTTCTCTCTCCTTTTCCTCCTCTTCTCCTGGCCTGAGCAGCATGACAGAAGGGCTAGGCCAATTGACTGATGGTGTGTCTGGCCTGGACGATTTCACCCAGACCCATGAATACCACGTGTGGCCCGGCTATGACTATGTGGGCTGGCGGAACGAGAGTGCCACCAATGGCTACATTGAGATCATGTTTGAATTTGACCGCATCAGGAATTTCACTACCATGAAGGTCAGTGGAGTTGGATGTGGTGGAATTTCTTTAAGGAGGCACAAATCATAGTGTGGTAGAGAAAAGGCATGCTAGAAAGAAGTCTAGGCTGATGACAGTTCAATGACATATTCTGTTACTAACTAGCTAAATGCATTTCACCAGTCACTTCACCTCTAAGGGTGTGGTTCTCCATTTGTGTGTAAGGGAGTTAGAATAGGTCAGTGAGCTCTCTCTCTCTCTCTTTTTTTTTTTGTTCTAACACTAAAGGTGACACATCCATAAAACACAATAACACAGTGTCCAGGGCCCACAGATTTTTAAGACCCGTAAAAATGTTTTAATTTCTTTTAATATCAGATGAAAAAAAAACAAATTTTTAGGGTCAAAGATTATCTTTTTACCAGCACAGTTGCTATATATATATATATATGTGTATACACACACACACACACATCTATATATACACACACACATATGTGTGAATATGTGTATTCTCATTTAGAAATGAGATTTCTAAAAAAAAAAAAAAAAAGATGAAATTGTTTTGGATTGTATATTATTTCAGGTTTCTCACCTAGCCCTGTTGAAAAGTAGACTGGCTCTGAAACATACCTAGGAGGAAGTAGGATGGCAGTCATCCTCTTACCTCAGTTCAGAATAGCTCGAATCAGGGTAGATGGCAACTGTGGTTGAGAGGATTATAGACTCGAGAGAATTCAAGGCAAGGAAGGGCCTGAGAAGATGCTGGTGCAGTCATCATTTAACAGATGAGAAAACTGCAGTCCAGCAACATGAAGTGAGGTGGCCAAGGACAGACAGTGCATACAGGTGACCAGGGTTGCAGCCCAGGTTTTATAATGCCTGACCAACTATCACTGCTGCTGTGAGGTTCCTAGAAGGAAAAATCCAGAAGACTGCAGAACACCAACTATTTACCAAGGGTGGTGCTCGCAGAAACAGCAGGTCTTGACTTATGGAGTTGGCTGGCACTGTCTCCATGCACCTTAGCAGGGTCAACCTGTCAGTCACATGCCTCTTTCTCTACCAGGTCCACTGCAACAACATGTTTGCTAAAGGTGTGAAGATCTTTAAGGAGGTACAGTGCTACTTCCGCTCTGAAGCCAGTGAGTGGGAACCTAATGCCATTTCCTTCCCCCTTGTCCTGGATGACGTCAACCCCAGTGCTCGGTTTGTCACAGTGCCTCTTCACCACCGAATGGCCAGTGCCATCAAGTGTCAATACCATTTTGCTGATACCTGGATGATGTTCAGTGAGATCACCTTCCAATCAGGTAGGGAGCTCAGGTCCTCTTTGGGAAGTGGGAGCAAGGTGATGAAGGAGGAATGCACATGGCCAGAAGTTCTCATTAGCAGGTCTCTGAGAGGAGTGGGATGGTACAGGCAGCTTCTCATTGCTGGATGCAGTGAATCCTTTGTGTGACTAGTTTTAATTGTGGAGGGGACAGGATGAGAATGGAAATGAATAAAATATTCATGTAACTCTTCTTAGAAAGAATTTTTTTAAATGAGAGTATAGTGTGTTAAAAATTTTATATAATTTAAGGCAGTTAATAAGTGTGCTGTTAAGAAAAAGCACACCTAAGCACTACTGAGATATTTAAATGAAAATCTCTAAATATACACAAAAGTAAAGAGAACAATAAACCACCCGTCACTCAGCTTTACTAATCATTGATATTTTGCCATATTTGTTTCACCTATTCCTTCCTTTTGGCTGTAGCATTTTAAAGCAAATGTGAGATACTATTTGATTTCATTAGCAAATAATTTGACTACATCTAAGAAAATAGTGTCATTTTCGTAGCTATAATGCCATGATAACATCTAACAACCCTTATTATTAAATAATTTCTAAATACAACCCAATATCCTGTCCATATTCAAGTATGACTAACTGTCCAACAATGTCTTAATTCAGTTGGCGTTACCAAATAAGGATCAAAATAAGGATCTCTTGGTGTGCTTCTTTATTCTATTTGCCCTGTATCTCTTTTAATCTAAAACAATTCCTTCCTTTTTTTTTTTTTAAAGGATTCTGGCTTGGCTGATGGCTTTCTGTGGTGTCATTTTACTTGAGCTTCTGTTCTCTGTCATTCCTAATGACTGGGTGCTTACATCTACAGGTCAATTTGATTGAAGTTCAATATCTATTTTTGTCAAGAATTCTTTTTTTTTTTTTTACTTTGCCATCCTATTTCTTTATTATCAGAAAGTTGTTTTTTTATTATTTTTATTTTTATTTTATTATTATACTTTAAGTTCTAGGGTACATGTGCATAACATGCAGGTTTGTTACATATGTATACTTGTGCCATGTTGGTGTGCTGCACCCATCAACTCGCCAGCACCCATCAACTCGTCATTTACATCAGGTATAACTCCCAATGCAATCCCTCCCCCCTCCCCCCTCCCCATGATAGGCCCCGGTGTGTGATGTTCCCCTTCCCAAGTCCAAGTGATCTCAGTGTTCAGTTCCCACCTATGAGTGAGAACATGTGGTGTTTGGTTTTCTGTTCTTGTGATAGTTTGCTAAGAATGATGGTTTCCAGCTGCATCCATGTCCCTACAAAGGACACAAACTCATCCTTTTTTATGGCTGCATAGTATTTCATGGTGTATATGTGCCACATTTTCTTAATCCAGTCTGCCACTGATGGTTGTCAAGAATTCTTTATGGATAGTGTTGTATATTTTATGCTGAACTTCATCATGGGGATATAATGCTAGATCCTCTCACTTTTTATGATACTAAGATTGATTTCTGGTTCCTCATGAACTTTTTCCTTAAGTTTTATCCTCCATTAATAACCACTGTCTGAATTACTTATTTCACTAGGGGTTGCTAAATGATGATTTTCTAATTCTTTACTTTTTTTCTGCATTTCTTAGCTGAATTTCTTCCAAATAGAATAATTATTCTTCATGCACCAGTTTACTCAGAAATCACATTGAAAGACCAGGATATGTGACTTATTTTCCCCTTTAATTATTAATTTTCAGAGTAATGACTTGATACCCTAGCAACCCTCGAAGTTTGTTTTTTACTCTTATTTTTTTGGAATAATTATAAACTAATTGCTTTTTATCAATTTAATGTTTAATCGATTGCAGGGTTTTTTTTTTTGTTTTTTTGTTTTTGTTTTTGTTTTTTTTTTTTAGACAGTGTCCCTCCCTGTCACCCAGGCTGGAATGCAGGTGGTGTGATCTCGGCTCACTGCAACCCCTGCCTCCTGGGTTTGAGTAATTCTTCTGCCTCAACCTCCCAAGTAGCTGGGCTTACAGGTGCCTGCCACTGTACCTGGCTAGTTTTTCTATTTTTAGTAGAGATAGGGTTTCGCCATGTTGGCCAGGCTGGCCTTGAACTCCTGAACTCAAATGATATGCCTGCCTTGGCCTCCCAAAGTGCTGGGATTACAGGTGTGAGCCACCGTGCCCAGCCATTATTCTTTTTAATACTCAAGTTGTGCTGTCTTTGACTAGAGTTTGCTTTTTTTTTTTTTTTCCCTGAGACAAAATCTTGCTCTGTTGTCCAGGATGGAGTACAATGGCACGATCTTGGCTCATTGCAACCTCCGCCTCCCAGGTTCAAGCGATTCTCCCGCCTCGGCTTCCCGAATAGCTGGGCTTACAGGCACCTGCCACCATGCCTGGCTTTTTTTTTTCTTTCTTTCTTTCTTTTTTTTTTTTTTTTGTATTTTTAGTAAAGACAGGGTTTCACCATGCTGTCCAGGCTGGTCTCAAACTCCTGACCTCAGACGATCTGCCTGCCTAAGCCTCCCAAAGTGCTGGGATTACAGGTGTGAGCCACTGCACCCAGCCTAGAGTTTGCATTTTTAAGGGGGCTCTTTGCTCTTTGGATCTGACCCTAGAAGCCTTTGATATCTTTCTTGTTTTCTGAAAGAACAAGGTATTTCAAGCTCATTTTGAACATGCACTGTGCCCAACATGGAATCAACCATTTCTTCAAGAAATCTTGATTCCTTTTAGTAGAAAATGGTATTTAGAGAACACAAACTGGGCAGTAGGGATATACATTGCTAATAGGTTGTCATTGTTTCTTGAATTTTTTGGTGGAAGAAAGCAATTCAATATGTATATTTAAAAAGAAAAAGATTATGAGTTTACATTGTTATTTCCAATTGAAATTAAAGATAAGGTTTTTATTTAAACTTGATTTTATACTTTCATCTCTATTATTTATGCTAAATATCATGTTTCCTAACAATGTTAACAGCATTTTCTTCATCCTGTTATTCAAAAAGCAATACCAATATTATTACTAGCAACATAACTATTGAGCATTAAGATTTCATAGCAATTCTCTTTTCTTTGTCCTGAGAATATATCCTACTAAGAATGTACAGTCAAAGCACTGTGTTCTAAGGTCAGTTGGGTAACAGTGGTATAATTCTTTTCCGTATATAGTTATATCACCAATGTGGTATACAGTTAGGGTAACAGTGGGATAATTTTTTTCTGTATGTAGTTGTGTCACCAATGTGATATACAGTTAGGTTCATTGTATTCCATTTGTTTCAACTTTTAGGGATTCGTTTTAAACTGTAAACACTACTTTTGATTGGACAGTAACAGCAGCAAATAGTGATTTAACTTACTGGTACCAGAAACTGTGCCAAATCTTGAAAAGTTAAAAGGTGTTTAGAATATTGTTCACACTATTAAATTTTAGATGGGGAGACAAAAGACACACAATGCTAAAAAAAAGAAAAAAAAAGAAAGAAATGTCCAAAGCAATATGAACAATAAATGGTCAGAAGGAGAGAGGCACTAGAGTGTGTTTGTCATAGACAGCATCAAAGAAATAAGATTTGTACTGGGCCTGGAAGAAAAGTCCAGGTGTAAAATAACACAAGAGAGAGGAAGAGACTAATTTAAAGATAAACCACACTTTGGGAGGCCAAGGCAGGAGGATTGCTTATTATCAAGAGTTTAAGACTAGCCTGGGTAACATGGCGAAACCCTATCTCTTTAAAAAACACAAAAATTAGCTGGGTGTGGTGGCACATGCCTGTAGTCCCAGCTACTTGGGAGGCTGAGGTGAGAGGATCACCTGAGTCCCAGAGGCAGAGCTTGCAGTGGGTCGAGATCGCACCACTGCACTCCAGCCTGGGCGACAGAGTGAGACCCTGTTAAAACAAAAACAAAAAAACAAAAAACAAAAAGATAAACCAGAAGAACCCATCCTTTCAGATTTGATTTTTAAGGGGGGGAAAAAATTCAAGATGGTTTGCTTATTAAGATGTACTGATAAGAAAATAGAGCATATTTTTAGGAAAACAGGTTTGATGTTTAAATGGCTTCTGTGCTAATGATTCAATCTAACAGTAAGTTGATTGATTGTTTTAAGTTGATTGATTGTTTTATCTGAATACTGAGAGTAGAAATCAAGACACTCAAAGTCAATGCCACTTATACTGTAAGTGTTAACTGGGGGACAAATAGATTACTACCCATCCTCAGGGATTCTCCTGGCATAGTAATCAGTACACTTATTACAGCTAATTATAGCTATGAAGCATGGTTTTTGACTCCTGGGGTCTCTTGAGCTTTAAATCCAATGCATAATAATATTAGTCTTCACTGGAGCCTGATAACCGAACTCATAAAGCACATGGAGAGGCCAGATACCTCCTTATTTATATAATAATGTTAAGAAGAAGAAAAATTAGGATAGTTGGAAGAAATATCTCTTAGAAAGGAAATACGTATTCTAATTCTTGACCCCCTTGATTAGACAAATCAGAGGGAAAAATTCAGGCAAAGCTGCCAACATCAATCTGGCAAATACACTTTTGTGGTTTAGTCTCAGAAGCTGCAAAATCACAGTAGAGGACCCTCCAATGTCAGTAAATATCTATAAAGATGAAGCCTTAATTCATAAATTGAAGGCCTAGACCGATGAGGCATAGTGGAGACTCTTTTATAAACAATCTAATTTCCTTGAAGGAAAAAGCATCTTAACACTATGTCTATCCCTTGCCCATTTACCTGCTATATTATGTCTATATTTTCACTGAATTTGGGTCCTGCTTCTTATGCTTTATAATAATGCATGGTCACAGCCTGTTGAATCGCTGTTTCTTAAACTTTTTTGTACCATAGCATCTAGTATGTAATATGTGAAACAAAAATTTTAAAAAGGAAAACTTGCTCTTACTATTTAGATAAATGGTGATACTTTTATTTGATGTATTTATGATTTTATCTTTTTAAAAGACTGACGGCAACTCACTAAATTGATTTCATAATGTGCTAGGTCACAATATGACTTCAGAGAAAACACAGCTATCTGTCTTCTCCCTGGCTCTGACTCACCCTTGTTTTATAACAGATGCTGCAATGTACAACAACTCTGGAGCCCTGCCCACCTCTCCTATGACACCCACAACCTATGGTATGTGTGATTCCTAATTATACAAATTAAGTTGAAGGGACTTCCTGGAGGATGAAGAAGGGTAGAGAGTTGCAAAGCCCTGGCTGTGTGGGAGGCTTTACACCAGTTGGCTTTGGATGAAGAGTAGCCCTGGAAAGGTAGGACTGTCTACCTCCAAGTTATGGATCCAAATATACTCTCTTCACTACTGATTCATGTGCTTCTTCAGCTGAGGCGGAGTCTGGAGTTGTCCCAATTTCTCCATGAAAGTTTGGAAATTTGGGGTCAGAAACAGGGAAAGGGACATTCCTAGGTCAGACCCATAGTGGGTATTTCTAAGAAGGGGTGAAAATCTAAGAAACAAAATGTTGATCTCTCTAATTGGAGATAAATATGCCATATATGCCTTGCTTTAGGCAGTCATTGGTGACACTAGCCAGCTATGTGGGAAACATGTGTGATTGCATGTGTCCAAAGAGGACTTTCAGCTCCCTTGGCATGTCTCAAAGAATGCAGAGAATGAAACTGATTCTTTAACTGTTTTTCATGAAGTGTGATTAAGGGACCATAGACTCAGGCCATAATAATACAGAGACAAAATTTTGGGAAGAATAGAAAAACTCACCATTATTCTGTCTGACACACGGGGAGAGGGAGACTACTGTCTTATGGAAGAGGGAAGTAGGATTTGTGAACAAAGTAATAAAACAGGATGGGCATGCTGACTCACACCTGTAATCCCAGCACTTTGGGAGGCAGAGGTAGGCAGATCACAAGGTCAGGAGTTCGAGACTAGCCTGGCCAACATGGAGAACCCCATCTCTACTAAAGATACAAAAATTAGCCGGGCATGGTGGCGCATGCCTGTAATCCCAGCTACTCAGGAGGCTGAGGTATGAGAATTGCTTGAACCTGGGAGGGAGAGGTTGCAGTGAGCCGACATCATGCCATTGCACTCTATCCTGAGGGACAGAACAAGACTCTGTCTCAGGAAAAAAAAAAAAAGTAATAAAACAGTAGCAAGAAAAAAAAAAAAACAAAAACCTGTAGCAAGAACAAGAATAAACAGAAGTGTTAAGGTGGCATCTTCCATAATTATCTTCAAGGAACAAGGTCTACCTCCATGTTTCCAGTCCAGTCCCTCATACTTTTACTTGACCTGTGAGATAATTGTATTCTCTGCCTTCTCTCCCTGGTCACAGATCCAATGCTTAAAATTGATGACAGCAACACTCGGATCCTGATTGGCTGCTTGGTGGCCATCATCTTTATCCTCCTGGCCATCATTGTCATCATCCTCTGGAGGCAGTTCTGGCAGAAAATGCTGGAGAAGGTGAGGAGGTGCAGAACGGCCATGATACAAGAAACTGCTCCTTTCTTTCTTAAGCCACTGTTGCCCCAGGAGTAAAAGGCACATTGCAAACATTTATTAATGGTTGGAGTTAATTGAGGCTACCAAGAAACATAGGAATGAAGCCAGAAAAGAATTAGCTAAGTCTATTTTCTCATTTTTAGAGTGGAGATGTTGGAACCTCCCTAACGTTCCTCGAAAATGCAGAAAACTCTTCTTAATACATTGAATCTCAACTCAGGCATTTTCCTTGAAGATTCTGATTCACTGGATTTTGGGTGGAGGCCAGGCATCCATACTTAAAAAAAAAATTAACAAGTGCTTCTGATGCACATTCAGATTTAAGAATTACTCTCTCCTAATGCCAAGCTGAAATTTCTGATAATGCTGTTGAAGTTCCTTCTCATCTTTTTCACTTTGCTTGTCTGTTTGGGGTGTGTGTGTGTGTGTGTGTGTGTGTGTGTGTGTAGAAAAACATCCAGCTTCATGAGTGTTCAAGTCAAGTTTCTCACTACTCTATTTCTACTTTTGTTCACTTGAAGGTTATGATTATGTATCCCTCTGAGTCCCTTTTCAGACTCTGTCTATGCCAACTGATCTGAATAACTTTTTATATTGTCTAACACTTTACAAGAAGCAGACTTTTTCCTCATGCATAATTTTATATACACCTCATTGAGTAATAACTCATAGGTATTGTTATATTTAACTATTTTTCTGATGAGAAAATATGATGTGCTTAAGGTCATACAACTGGTGTCCAGTCTTCCATGCTTTTTCCAATTGTTAATATTGAAATGCATTTATTTCTTTCTACATTCATTTCATCAAAGATGGAATATCTATGACTTGTCTTGCTTTCTTGGACCAAATAGCAACTCACTGCTGCTTAGTGTCTATTCTTTTGGGGCCTGCTGATGATTAAGTATTTCTACGTTTGGCCATGGTCACCTCTCCTGGTCAATGAGTTCCTCTCATTAGACATGTACTAGGAGAGGCCACAGAAACTCTGAGCTGTGGGGCTTTGAACTGCCTCCTGAGGGCAGGGAACAGGAAGAAGGAGAAATCCTGATTGATTTCAGTGTTTGGGGGTGGGGTCTCAGAGGAGAACAATGCCTGTGTGGGATCTCTATTCTAGATGAGAGGAAAGGGCACCATGAGAATGGGCTTGAGTCTCCAGAGCGTTCTAGATGTAGGATGGGAGAAAAATGGCTCAAATCAAGGATAAGGAGGAGCAATCCTGATGAGTAGCCTGCAATTCCTTCTGACCTGTGCCACCCTCAGGTTCCTGAGATGGTTGATGTTTGTTTTAAGGTTTTTAGGCAGGAATATTTCATGTAAGAGGTCTCCTTGCTTCCCACAAGTATGTCTACCAGTCTGAAAACACTTAAAGCTTTCAATTCACAAATAGCCACAGAAGACTGAAAGACAGAATCCACAGAGACTCACTCACTGTCATGAGGTGTCTCAAGGCATGAATGAGGCAAATATCAAAACTTTTCCTCCTTTAGAATGCTGGAACACACTAGTGTTTAATGAGGTATTCCAGAGTGAGGGTGGTGGTGACCTGAAGATTCATTGAACTGCTTGAAGAGGATATGTAACCTTCTTAAATAGTCTGTTAGGACCACATTTTAGCCAAGGGAGGAGGGTCTGTGTTCTCTACTCTATGAGCTCTTTTTCTCTTTATGTGAGCCACAATTTACCACACTTCTCTGAGTCTTTATTCTGAGGCCTGTTGGAATATCTTCATGGGCTAAGAGAGAAATGTTGGAATCTCCAGGTAAAAGGTAGAGCAAACATTTTTCCCTTGAATATTTAACTTGGTCCTCTGAGAAATTCTACCCCTGTACACCCTGAGTAAGATGACTCAAGGTGCTCTGGAATGACACTCAGGATTTCTTCCTGGGAACAAAATTTTATGTGGAAAATCATTGAGTACACACATACATTCTAAGAACATTACTTAACATAGCTGTAGACTGTAGCATTGTTTGTAGGATACTTTTGATGGTGTCCTTAACATTCCCTCTTTGAGAGATTCAACCCACATATATTGAGTACCTACTTCGTTCTGAGCTTCATGCTTGTACTGGGGATATTACTGCAACAAAAGACCTTTCAGTCTAGTGGAAAAGTGCACGTCTAAGTTTCGCCATTGAGCATCCAAGCTGTGTTTGTTGGAGTGGAGCATTTTACATGCTTAAACTCAAATAGTCACATACATGCAAATGTTGGCATTTTCCTTTTGATGGAGCAGGCAGGTTATATTAGATAAGATACCACAGAAGTGGTTGCTTTGTTGTTCTCCCTCCCTTATTAGGTGTAAGTCACATTGTTATCTCTGGACACCTAGAGCTTTCCTGTCCCATATTGTAGCCATTTTATTTTTGGTTAGTGAAAATATGGGTCAGTGGTGGGTATTATCCTAATTTAGGGTGTCAGAATGATCAATTAGAACTATTGATTCATCATGTTATAGCGCATTTATTAGGTTAATAAAAAATTTATGTCTATTCCAAAACCAAGCAGTTAAAGGGTAAGCCAGCAAAACCCATCATTTAATAAAACATAGAAAACTCTATAAGATTGAGATATTTGGCTACCGATAGGTTCTTATAGCATCAAGGAGATAATCCTTTTTTTTTTTTTTTTTTAAGTGTTTCAGAAAGCACATCATAGAAATTAGAAGATCAAATTCTACCTTGAAGAAATGAAGGATTATTCTAAGTTTCTACAACACAGGCATTTGTGGACCCAGACTGCATCCCTAGCATGTCCAGTGTCACTGGGGTTAAACAGTAGTAAAGAGTTATTTCATTTGCATGGAAGAGTTGAGTTTAAGAAGGGGAGGAATTGACCATCTTTTTTGTGCCAGCGTGTCTTTCTCCTTGTTAATCTCTTCCAGGCTTCTCGGAGGATGCTGGATGATGAAATGACAGTCAGCCTTTCCCTGCCAAGTGATTCTAGCATGTTCAACAATAACCGCTCCTCATCACCTAGTGAACAAGAGTCCAACTCGACTTACGATCGCATCTTTCCCCTTCGCCCTGACTACCAGGAGCCATCCAGGCTGATACGAAAACTCCCAGAATTTGCTCCAGGGGAGGAGGAGTCAGGTGAGGATGATGTGGTGGGCAGGGAATCGAGGGAGAAACTTCGACAAGCCTCAGGTAGGAATCATGCTCCTGCTCCCAGTTAACTGTATCTATTTTTAGTCTCTACTAACCTCCTGAGAAGTCCACATTCTCTTTCTAGATTTGGTCTGCAGCTGCTCCTGGCCCAATTTGAGCACCTCTCCCTTGCTACTGAATATAAGATGTGTGGAGGGACCCACATACCAGAAAATAAAGAAAAAAAAAATAAAACATGTGAATTAGGTGTTAACACCACAAGAACCTAAACAGTCCAACCAGTCTAACCTCATTTCACATGTCGGGAAAGTGAAAAAGCCCAGATAGAGTACTCATCCAACACCAAATTTCATGAGTGGGTAAAAGCAGGACTAGATTTTCACCTGGAGAAATAAATAAATAAATGAAGCTAAAGACATTCCAAAATTCCCAGTGGTATAGCCATTTAAATAACTAAAATAACTAACTACTTGAGTTATCTATTTTTTGGTAATTTCTCTTTGGTAAACATTTATTAGAGTAATAGGAGATTTTATTATGAGAGTAAAATATTTCTCCCCTTTTCTCAATAAAAGCATTGAAATAAAACAGGTAAAATAGTAAGTAGTGTCAGTTCATTCAAATTTCAATGTCTTTTAAAAAATGATGCAGAGTCATATCAGAAGGGAAGCTGGAGTCACCTCTTTAGCTCAGAGCAACTTTTCTATAAGGTCATCTACCTGAGGGACTCAAGCCAGTAGAAAATACCTTGTAGTGTTGAGGAGAGAGGAGCTAGGCCTGAGCTGAATGTAGAAGCAGACAGGACTATATTCAAGAGCATAAGATTTTACAGGAAAGAGCCTGAACGGGTCTTTTCAAAGGATAAAAGGAAACTTGCATCTATTTTATTATTCAATGGACAGAAGACATGAAAGAGCATGCTAAATTCAAGTAATTTCACAGAGGCAGCAAGAACTAAGGATATAAACTGATTTATTTCTTACGGTGAATGGAAGTAATTTACCTATTTCCTAAGTTTAAAACATTCCCCACCTCGTATTTTAATGTTTTTTTTTTTTAAGTTAGAATATGTCTTAAACTAGATCATATGTCTTTAATCTGAAAGTTTTTTATACCTAAAATCAGTTTTTAAGTCAATAACAGTGTCTTAAAATTAAGGAAATACATTATTAAACCTTCAACCTTTAATATTCCCACCCTGATATACCATGAGCCTTCCTATAGCTTCACCACACAATTCCACAAGTTTAGCCACAGAATTTGTAAATGGTCATGTATTATGAGGAAAAGAATGAGAAATAAAATTGTGTTCTACATTCTGAAGGCCACAAGAAAATCTTTAGAGGAAGCAAAATCATTTTCCAAGTAAGAATGTCATGAAGCAGGTTAGGCTTTCACAGGGGCATGTTTTAGCCCTCCTCTCAGAGTACCTTCCTGAAGAGATCTCCAAAGACGCTCCATGGAATGAGGCTCGTTGCCCTTGTTTTCTCAGGCTGCAGCGGTGTTGTGAAGCCAGTCCAGCCCAGTGGCCCTGAGGGGGTGCCCCACTATGCAGAGGCTGACATAGTGAACCTCCAGGGAGTGACAGGAGGCAACACATACTCAGTGCCTGCCGTCACCATGGACCTGCTCTCAGGAAAAGATGTGGCTGTGGAGGAGTTCCCCAGGAAACTCTTAACTTTCAAAGAGAAGCTGGGAGAAGGACAGTTTGGGGAGGTGAGTTGATTCTTTGAGTGGGGCCTCCAGTCCCTTAGAGCTCGAAGGAGGTGGTTGGATAAAAATGGTCAGTAGAACAAACAGTCCCTTCCAGAGGTGGATTCACAACAGAGTGTCTCTTCCAGTTGTCTCTCCTTGCATTGTCCTCTGGATTCTAGTATTGGATCAACCTCATCTTTGTCAAATAGCTGTGGAGTTCCTGGGACTTCTGATTTCTATACAGGAGTTTTTAAGGCAGGCAAGTCACTAGACTTCAGATATCTTGAAACACATTCAATATTTTCAAAAATGTTTACAATAGATTATGCAGGGTGGGATCCACAAGATGTGATCATCTTTTATGAACTGTCCAGGAACATTCTGCTTCTCAATAGCCACTTTGTTTTTTTCCCCTTTAATGAGAGTTATATGTAAAATGGTCAAAAACAACCTCGCCCCTGCCTTTGGTCCCAGAATCAGCCACTAGGGAGTGAATCACCAACCAAGATAAGGAGGAGTACTCTTTTCATTTGCCCTCAGAGTGATGCATGCATTATTAAACTTTTCACTCTTGCATCAGTCACATGAACCTTCTGGGAGCTCAAAGCAATGTTTTGAATTGTAATAGGAACTCTTCACCACTGCCATCTAAACTCCAAATAAAACACTTGGTTTCCTAAGATGTGTTATTGGTTTTCAGTGTGGATCTCATGTTCTCTCCTTGGATAGGTCTGGTGTTGCAAGAGGTGGAGGGGCCCATGTTATCTGTTCATGGTGTGACATGTACTCATTATGTCCCCTGGGTTGAAAACTCGTATCTGTTATACTGTTGCTAACACACAGGAGTTGCTTATAATGCTAAACCCTATGCTAAGGAAACTGCCTTATGTTTTACATGATCCAGTGACTCATGAATCAAAGTTCAAGCATTTGTAATAAAAGACATTTTATATTGGGCTATGCTGTAATATAATATTGTTACTGATTCATTCATTCACTTAATGTTCCAATCAATGTGTATTTCTAAGGCAGGAAAGTAGCATATTAGCTGGGTACTTTACCATTGTTTTTAATCTTATCAGTTATTTGAATCATAGATATGTTACACATATCTTCTTATTGGTCTTTTGATCATTTTGCCTGAGTTGTAAGAGTTAGTTTATCTCCAGGAAATGCCCAGCAAGAGTACTGAGACATCTTCAGGAGAAATGATGATGCTGAGACTAGATGACTTTTGTCTAGGTTCATCTCTGTGAAGTGGAGGGAATGGAAAAATTCAAAGACAAAGATTTTGCCCTAGATGTCAGTGCCAACCAGCCTGTCCTGGTGGCTGTGAAAATGCTCCGAGCAGATGCCAACAAGAATGCCAGGTCTGTGGTCTACATTTTGAATTTTCCTTTATGTATTTCATCTTTAGGACCAGGAATACTCCTGGATACTTCTGAGCAATTTTTTCTTTTGAGATGGGGAGGTCAGTGAGCTGCCTCCCATTTCCACTGTTATCCTTTTTCTTACTTTGATGGGGTCAGCAGTCCTCATCTCTTTCTCCACCTCTTTCAAACACAAAGGTACATTTTCCATTGTACTTGCCACATATTTACTTCCTAACCCCCTGTGCACAAGCACTGTACTTCCCAACATATACAACTGTCTAGATGTGTACTTCTTTGGTCTTTACATGCAGACATACTCCTGCATGTCATTACCTCCTCTTGACAAAGTCTTCACAATCACACATGACTTTCTTGCTAAGCCTCTTCCAGTCTCCTTTTTTCACATTTCTATTTATTTTCTCATCCCTTTTTTCTCTTTTATGCTCCTTTTCTTCTATCTCCAGCAACCCTCAAAATGAGAAGCTACCTCTATTTGGAAAATTATCTATGAACCTCAAAGCAAAAGGATCCACGGTTCTCTAGCAGTTTTCCAAACTGGCTAATAATCTCTTGGATCTTTTTCTACATAAATTGCAGTTTCCAGCCACACTCCATTGTCTGACAGCCTTTCCATTACAATAATGGTGAGTTTATCCTCACCCAGAGAGACAAGCTGGTTGAAAGCTGGTTGTATGTGTCCCAGAGAAATCTCCATACCTGGATAACCTATACATTTTTCCTACTCATGTTGTCTTGATTTGTCTCACTGATATTCATAAGTGAAAAAAAAGTTTACTATTCTTATTTTCCAAATTATCATAAATTCCAAGAATAGTGATAGACTTCATTAAAAGTCTTGCAATGGACAGGATGTAAGATAAAGAAGAGAGAAAGGTGAGGAAATGAAACTGGAGGCTTTAGAAATTTAACTGATAATTTCAAACTTTAAGATACTGTTAAGAATAAAAAGTGACATTCTCTGGGTCTCATAGAGAGATTAAGTATTTCTTATATTAATCTTAGCACACGACTGGAGAAAGTGGCATGAGGGGAAACAAAACAAAACAAAACCACAGGACATAGGATATGACAAAGCCTTTCTCCATTGTTCCGATTGGTGAAGTTTGCCATTCCTCCACCTGTGTCCTTAGCAGTGATGGACGGCCTGTGAACCCTCCCAAGCCATGAAAACCCCTGGTTTGAGACGGAAGGGGGAATGAAAGAGGGGAGGTGTTGCATCAGGACTGCATTGATTCCAGTGGTTTATATTGACATAGTATGACTTCCAGTCTAGGATTCCTAGAAAACTCTTGGAGGGCTTATAACTCATCTGCTCCAATAGTTTTGGGAATGTGGGCTAGAGGCCTCACTAACAAAATCTTGCTACTTTATGACCCAAGGATGTCTGCCGCCATGTACTCAAACAATTATTAGTCTTGGTCAAATGAGTACTTCTTTTGACATGACTACCACAGCCTTTAAAGAGCTCTGTTTTGGACAGGCTACTAAATACATGTTGCAACTGACTGATGGTTCATACTGCATTAAGAAAAGTCAGTATGAGAAAATAAAGAGTAATCAGGTAAGCCAAAGTATGGTTGTTCACATCATACAAAGTTTCTTCACTTTAGTAATATAGTGACTCCATGGCTTTAAAAAAAAAAAAAAAAAAGGTAAATATCCTCGTGCACTTAAGATACGATTTTCAGTGAAACATTTTACTTTGTAGAGTGGTTTTTAGCAGCCTATTTTTGATTCAGCAAATATTAATCACTTTCTGTGTGGCAGGGATTTTGTTAGATGTGAGGGATAGAAATGTGAATAGATCATGGATCTCGTTCTCAAAAACATTACAATTGAATAAGGGTTCATGATATTTCAGGAGGAATAGAATGAGACAGATCCAGGTGTCAATTTCTCTGTCCTCTCAAAAGTTATCCAAAGTGAAACAAGATTTGGTATAATGTCTAGGAATAGACCTTGGTGTGCATTCTTCTCCCTCTTGATTCTGACTCTGGCAACTTCTGAGTTTATCTATGTCTGTATCCTCCCAAGGAATGATTTTCTTAAGGAGATAAAGATCATGTCTCGGCTCAAGGACCCAAACATCATCCATCTATTAGCTGTGTGTATCACTGATGACCCTCTCTGCATGATCACTGAATACATGGAGAATGGAGATCTCAATCAGTTTCTTTCTCGCCATGAGCCCCCTAATTCTTCCTCCAGCAATGTACCCACTGTCAGGTAAACAAGCCAGGTCTTCCGTCTTCTCCCTGTGGTGATGAGAGCAACCTGGGATCTGAAAGTAGGGAGCAGTGAGCCTTAAAGTGTATCACTGTTCTGGGATGGTGAGGGAAGTTAGTGTGCAGGGAATAATGGAGCAGCTGCCCTTTGGGGGAATGCAAGGGATTCATCAAGAGTAGAAAAAGAATGTTGAGCTTTCAACCCTAGTTTGTTGATACAAATTTTAGAATGTGTACCTTTCACATCTTCCTGTTTCCATAGGCTACCTTCTGTCTTCTTGTCTATTTCCTCAGTTACACCAATCTGAAGTTTATGGCTACCCAAATTGCCTCTGGCATGAAGTACCTTTCCTCTCTTAATTTCGTTCACCGAGATCTGGCCACACGAAATTGCTTAGTGGGTAAGAACTACACAATCAAGATAGCTGACTTTGGAATGAGCAGGAACCTGTACAGTGGTGACTATTACCGGATCCAGGGCCGGGCAGTGCTCCCTATCCGCTGGATGTCTTGGGAAAGTATCTTGCTGGTGAGTTCTCAGCATTTTAAAGCCCTGTCTAACAACTGGCTTGTGGGCTGGCACGCATGACACGTGGAGACAAACCTGAGACAGCAGAAGGCAAACTCAATAGACTAATATTTTCTCTGATTTGAAATTATTTTCTTTGTGTACTAACTCTTATTATTTAATGCTTGCCTATTTCTGCTAAAAAATTAACACACTTATAAAAATTTAGGGAGACAAGTTAAAAAGTATAAGAGATTTATTATCTTTGTTTCTCTTTATTATTTCTACCTAGTGATTGTTCTTAACTTAAAGTATTAAAAACCTTATCATTTAAAGAAATGTTACCTATACAAAATATTTTCTTCTCCATTAGTTTCATAAGCATGGTTCTCATAATTATATAGACTAATTCCTATAATTGTATTTCAGTACTTTTCAAGATGTTCTTTTTAAGTTCATCATTCTTTGCTGTTTAATTTTTATTCGATTCTTGATATTCCGTGCCATAAGTGAGTAATATCTCTCTTAGAGGTATATTTTCTGTCCATGCATACCTGAGACTTTTTATTGTTGATTTTACAACCACTCAGCTGATTTATAGACTCATTAGACTTTTACTTCCTACAATGCCATGTACATGTTATTTTACCTTTTTTCTTGTGTAACATTGTACAAAAAAGTCTGAGACCAATTTGGTTTTGTTCATTTGTGATTAATCTGCTTATTTCCTGCTGATATTCTTATAGGATTTATAAATTAATTTTGAAATAAAAAATGTATAGTTATTCCCTTCCACTCACCAAGATAACCACTATCAGTACTTTGGTATATTTTCTTTGAGGACTTTTTTCTATACATATGTTGTTTCTATGCATGCAATTTTTTTCTATGCATGCATTTATATACATATGTACGTACATGTAATTTATATTACATAATTGGGATGACACTATGCCATACAATTCTCTATCTCTATTTTTTGTTTGTTTGTTTGTTTTTGGAGACAGAGTCTCGCTCTGTCGCCCAGGCTGGAGTGCAGTGGCCAGATCTCAGCTCACTGCAAGCTCCGCCTCCCGGGTTCACACCATTCTCCTGCCTCAGCCTCCCGAGTAGCTGGGACTACAGGCGCCCGCCACCTCGCCCGGCTAGTTTTTTTGGTATTTTTTAGTAGAGACGGGGTTTCGCCGTGTTAGCCAGGATGGTCTCGATCTCCTGACCTCGTGATCCGCCCGTCTCGGCCTCCCAAAGTGCTGGGATTGCAGGCTTGAGCCACCGCGCCCGGCCTCTATCTCTATTTTTAACTTAACATTTTATTATCTGCATAATATTCCATTGTGTAGATATATCCTGTAACTTAATAATGCCTCTATAATTTGATATTTAAGTACTTTCCAATTTCCTGCTATTATGAATGATACTGTGATGTACACCAGTTTACATAAATCCTTATAAAGATCTTTTTCACCTATGTATGTGAATTGCTATATTTTACCCATTTCTAATGGGATAGTTAGGCATTACTCTCCCTAAAGGTATTATGTGGTGTTGAAAACAATATATTAGACTGACATTCAGAGGACCTTGGTTCAAATCCAGTTTTTCCACTACTAATGGCCTTATTAACCAGGAGAATCTGGGAAACCGCTCCTGTTTCATTTTTCTGATCTAAAAAATAAGGATAACTGGCATGGTGGTGTGTACCTGTAGTCCCAGCTACTCAGGAGGCTGAGACAGGAGGATGAAAATCTGGGCTGTGCTGCGCTATACCTATTGGGTGTCCTCACCGAGTTTGGCATTAATATGGTCACCCCTAGGAGCAGTGGACCGCCAGGTTGCCTAAAGAGGGATGAGCCAACCCAGATCAGAAACAGAGGAGGTCAAAACTCCCGTATTCATCAGTAGTGAGATCAAACATGTGACTGGCCTTTGCACTCCAGGCTAGGCAACATAATAAGACCCCATTTCTCAAAGAAAAAAAAAATTAAAAAATAAATAATATCATCAACTTCACAATGTTGTTGTCTGTATTGAGTAGAAAATGTGAGTAGTCAATGCATGCTATTTACACCTGAATCTCATTGCTGTCACTTGTTAAAGTCTATCTTTCAACACTGTGATGATAACTGAACTGGTAAATGAGAGTCCTGGATTCACTGCAGGCACTTAAACTAGAGTCCTCTATCTCTAACATAAAAACCATTGACTTCCCATTCAGATTTTGCCTTTCTCAGGAGCATTTTCCCAAGGCTACCCTAGAGTTGAAAGGTTGACCTGACACTCAGTTGCAGAGTCAGATAGCTTATGGCTGCATTTTTTTTCAGCTCTTGGATCACAAAGAAACAAAACCAAGGTGAGATCATGAGAATGAGAGAATGGGCTGTTTCTAAATACTCCATGCACATCTTGGCATTTTCAGAATTCCTTGTCTGTGGTAGGGGAAGGGGTATAGCTCCAGATTATGAAATTTAACCAGGTATTGTTGTGCACAGGTTATTCTGATTTCCCATTCTTTTCTTTACTTGAATAGGGCAAGTTCACTACGGCAAGTGATGTGTGGGCCTTTGGGGTTACTTTGTGGGAGACTTTCACCTTTTGCCAGGAACAGCCCTATTCCCAGCTGTCAGATGAACAGGTTATTGAGAATACTGGAGAATTCTTCCGAGACCAAGGGAGGCAGGTAAGAACTGTTGGGGATGAATGGATGTGGACCTGTGTACCTTGAAGGATGGAGAATGGAAAGTCCTGACTTAGCAGGAGTGGGCTGAGATGGAAGACAGACTATGTGGATGATAGTCTTTGTCACTAACTATCCAAATGATGTGAAAGACCAGTATCCTCCCCAGGCATCCATACGCTCTGCTTTATCTATGTGTCAACTCATTGACTCTTGGAGGGCATAAAGGGTCATGTCAGGTTTCTCCCCAACTCAAACGTAGCAGGAAATACAGTCCTGTCTCTCATGTTTTATCTATTTCTTGATCTAGATCATGTGGTTTTCTTCTGGGTCAATAAATATAAGTGTAAAAGGGATGTATTAGCATTCATTAAAATATAGCTTAGTATAAGAATTGGGGTTGGTTTTGACTATCTAGCAATGCTTCTAGACTTGGATGTCTGAAAATGGGCAGATATATCCTGAACTTGTTGCTCTTGGAAGGCATCTCTTGGACAATCCAAGAGTATTGTGACATCTCAAGACTCAGGGAAAGATAGTTTCCCAAGCTCCCCAGGAGTCTCAATTCCTAGCCAAGATACTCCAAACTTTTTTTTGGGTGACTTAGATTAAAAATTCCTGTGACGTATGGAATTTAAAGCTTGCCAGTCACTACAGCACTGCACCTCCCCAAAGGGGCCTGGCAACAGCATACCCTTGGATTATGGCATCTTTACCAGGAAAAGGATAATAGCTGGGGAAGGATCTTGCAGACAATCAAAAGTGGATCTTCTGTGGCTTGAATAGATCCAAGTAAGTCAAAGATAGATAAGGGATTGACAAGAGATAATACATTATGCATATTAAAAATAAGAGAGGGGTCTCAGATTTTAATTGTCTCTTTATACTCTGTAAATATTTTGGCAGCAGGGAGTCTAAATTAGCTATCTTGGTTATGAGGCAATTTGCCTTCTTACCACAGTAAAGGGCAAATTTACTCCCAAGTACGTGAGATAAGTGAGTGGGCCAAAGAAAAATGTTGTTTTCTGCCGCTGCCATGATTGGCTCAGCCAAGATGGACTTCAATATGGGTTGGTCATAAATGGAAGATTTGGTCTCTTTTTGGTTGTTTCATCTTTTGCATGAAAGTAGGGACCACATAATGGCCCATCAAAAATTTCTGCTCCAGAGAACTCCAGAAGACAAAGGGAATAGCTTAGAAAAGGGCTGATATGATTCAAAACTTTCATGAATAGGAAAAATGGATACCACACCCATTTCAGTTATCAAGTTCGAGAAAGTGGGCAGGGGGCAAATCAAACCATGATGCAAATATACTTCCCTTTCCCCCTTCTTTATAATATTCTCTGTCTCTTTCACTTTTGTTTTCCTTTATTTTTTTCCCAAAGACTTACCTCCCTCAACCAGCCATTTGTCCTGACTCTGTGTATAAGTTGATGCTTAGCTGCTGGAGAAGAGATACGAAGAACCGTCCCTCATTCCAAGAAATCCACCTTCTGCTCCTTCAACAAGGCGACGAGTGATGCTGTCAGTGCCTGGCCACATTCCTACGGCTCAGGTCCTCCCTACAAGACCTACCACTCACCCACGCCTATGCCACTCCATCTGGTCATTTAATGAACCTGAGAGACAGAGGCTTGTTTGCTTTGCTGTCTGTTCCTGGTCACCCCCACTCCCTACTCCTGACTCATATATACATTTTTTTTTTTACATTAAAGAACTTAAAAAAAAAAAGCCTAGGGCAGATACAATCTAGTAAAAGAAAATCTTACTTGATATACCAAAATGTTGGATAACAAAGGCTAGAAAATTCAGATAATTTATAAAGGTTAACTATGCTTGTGCTTATAAATGTGCAGATTCTACAATACTTTTCCATGTCACTCTAAAAGAATCTTCAGAAAGAAAAACTTGAAGAATACTAATGTCTTGGGAAACATGAGATTAAATTTAGGGAAAACACTTGATAGATGTGGAGAATCTGAGGACTCAGAATTCAGCAACTAATCACAGGTGGTTTTCTAATTTGGCCTCTGGACATGTCTCACTGTTTGCATTTCTCTCTCCTGTCAAAGTGAATGATATATTCTTGAAACCCCCCAATTTCTTGAAATGGGTGTCCTGCTCATTCATAGACAGGGGTCAGGGTTGAAGTTCATATATGAAACAACTGGGGATATAGATAGGAAAGAATGTTTGCTGCAAGAGTGTATGAAGGGGGATTGTCATTTACAGAAAAAAAGTACCTCATGGATGGAAGGATTCATGAATAGATAATGGACATAGGAAAGGAGGTCAATGGAGGACACATAACAGACATGGTATCCACCATTTATTTGTGATTTTGTAAGAGGGTTGTTTTCTTTGTCTTGTTCAGATATTTTCATGTGTGTGTTTTAGTGAGAATCTGAGTTTTTAATCAGTAAAGGCTGATGTTTTGATATCTTGATGGTAGACTCTTGAGTTCATCTTGTCCAAATCTTCTAGCGTTTTCAAGGATGAAGCCTCTGTAGGATCTTTGGGCTTGGGGCTGAATTTCTCAGGCATAAATACCTACTGGCCTTGTCCAAGAGGGAATAGGTCTGTTCTGAGTGTCCCCAAAAAAAGTCGTCCTAGGACTAATGTGGGGAAGTTACAGGGAGACTGATTTCCATTCCTTATTGGGGAAAACAAAGCACTCAGAACATACAAGGATAAATGGGCTGCTACCAGAGGTGGGGAGTCTCTTGTCAAAGAAAATGGAGGTTTTGAAACACAAAGTAGATGGTGGTGTAAGACAATGTTTAATGTCTTTCTAACTCCGAGAGTCCTTGATTCTAGAGAGGCACAGGATGAGCATCTATTGCTACTGCTGAGTATACACGCTCTTGCCTCTGAGATGGTGTGACCCGCAGAAAAGAAATCTCAAAGCTGTGGCTTCAGAATTCATGGAAACAGAGCCACTGTCAAGAAGGAATCTGCTCAGAGCAGATTCTGAGCTTTCACACTCCACAAATCTTCAGATTTAGTGGGAAGCTAGAAAAAGGAACTCTTAATTTCCATTGAGGAGAAACAAGAAGACATTACAAATCAGCTTCCCTAGCTGAGAAGGAATGGCCTTGACCCCTTGGGTCTGCCTCTGTTGCCCTCACCAGTTTATCTTCTGTAACAGTTTCTCAGGAACATGTGTATTTCCCCATTCAGCCTTCAGCATTGCTCCAGGCCACAGCATAAGCATAAATCCCAAGTCCACAGGATCCATTTTTCAGGTCATATTCTGATCCTAGCAAATGTCCTTTCCCCGTAGTTGTCCTATGCCTTTGGGCTTTAGTCTATCCCAGGACTAACTTTGGAGAAATCATTGGTTTGAGAGTCAAGAGAACATTGATTTGGGAGCTTTAACCCTCTTTCTGCTTCACACTAAGTGTGTCATCTTGGCTAAATCACTTGGTCTTTCTGCATTTTGTTTTCTTATTTATAGGATGAGGAAATTAGATTAAATAGTTTTGAGGTCCCTGCTGGTTCTGATACGTCCAGTACTAACTGGATAATTGAATCTATAACTGATGGATTTAGTAATCTGGTCATTTCTTGCTCTGAAAATTGTAACCAGCAAAAGAGATCATGGACGAAATCACTGTAATGGTAGTATAGTAACACATGCCATTTGTATTGTGCCTTAGGTTTACCAGGTGTTTCCAAATACATTAGCATATTTGATATGTGCAGGGCTAGATACCTTGGGACCTGCCACACTCCGCTTTCAAAATAAGTATTCTAAGCTTCATTAGAATTAAAGGGACTTGAACTCAGGACCTGCAGCCTATTCTTCTTTATCCACATGCCTCTGGTAGGGCTACATCCAGACCATGCCATGACTTCTTATGGAGCAAGAGAAAATAATATTATTTTATCTTCCTTTGCCTAAAATCTCTTCACTTATTCTTTTTTATGATTCTGCCCCAGTTCACTGGGTTATTCTATGTTTCCATATTTTTTTAAAATCATATTTAAAATGAACTTACAGTGTCTGAGTTTTCCCAGCCTTGAGTCATAGAAGTAATCTGTTTCAGATGGCTGCTCAATATATATTATCATGTAATACATATCTGTATCCTTTTCTGGGATGAGGAAGGCTTCAACTTCTGGCACTGAGACCTTTGTATTACAGACACAGGTTTAGTTTCTAGCTTAGTCATGCCTTTAGAGTTTAGTAGCACACATCCAAGCAACCCAACAGAATACATGGTGAGGGCCTAGTGTGTAGAATTCAACTAAGTAGTTCATATTTGAACTACATAGTAAGTAGTTCAAATTTGAATTAGAGGAACAAAGCTAGGACTTATTTGGAGAAGGAGATCAAAAAAAATGATCAGAGACTGTGGGGCCTTATTACGTTTGCAGTAAGTTATCTTCTTCATGATATATGTGAATTATTTTGTGTGCAGATTGTGTTTTGGGATTGCCAGATCTAAATTTATGTTCTTGCTGGCTAATGTGCTGATAGTTAGGTCTATCTAAAACTTGATGTGCTTTCCAGACACATATGTGACCAGATAAGATCTAAAGTGCAAAGCGGTGCCTGAGGAGCAAAATGTGATTTTAATGTTGTGGAAAGATCACTTGCAAGTATATTAAGACTGTATAAAGAAGAGGATTGTATGCAAGTGGGGTGAAAAAAAAAAGGATACGCGAATGTGCATATGACTGAATGGGGGGAAGGTCAGGGCTAGAAAGGAGGCTACAAAAAAGGGGCAACGGAGAGTGCACAGGAAAGACACAGGGAAAGATCAAGTTGAGCAAGTAGAAACAGGAGTAGCTGGAGCCATTGGGAATCCATTTTGAAACAAGAAGGAGTTTTGAAAGGGAATAGGAAAGTAAGTATCTTGAAGTAAAAGATAAATATGAATGGAGAAAGAAGAAATTCTGGATGATAGAGAGGATAAAAATATTTATTAAGAAATGAAGTCAGGTTCAATGTATGAAATGGAAAGGAATTTTTCAGAATTTTAAGAAAGGGGAAGTTCCTTTTGGAAAAGATATAGCAATCATCAGGGAATGACCTTTTCATTTCAGAAGTGTGTGAGGAAGGTAGTTTGAGCATCTGGTGTATTCTGGACCATTTCAAGTGCTGGTGAGAAGTAATCAACTATTTGCCTGAACGGGGCTTGGTTTCCCAAGTGCTGCTTTGGAAATGAAGACCCAGAGATGGGGAGCTTATGGTAGTTCATAAATCTTCATGTTCTATTATATTTCCTCTGTCAAAAAAGTTCATTTTCAATAATGCCCACCATTGCTGTGCCCAGAATAACCACAGGCAAACATCAAAACAATACGCATAAGTTAGACAAGATTAAATCTTATCTGATATCTGCACAAACAGATATGCACCATGTTGGAAACATGTGTTTTTCTAGTCCCATCCAGGCTTCCCACAACAAAGCCATGATGTGGGTCTAAACCATATGTTTTGAGTAAAGGAGAATAGAAGAAGAGGAGTGTCTGCAAGACAGAAAGAGATGAAGATGTTCCAAGGAAGTATACTAAAACAGAACAGTGAATGTTTTGCCCAAAACTACAGAAAGAAAGAAAGAAAGAAAGAAAGAAAGAAAGAAAGAAAGAAAGAAAGAAAGAAAGAAAGAAAGAAAGGGAGAAAGAAAAGAAAAGAAAGAAAGAAAAGAAAATTGCAATATATGGCTACTAAGTCTTTGATTGTAAGTTGAATTTATAGACCTGGAATTTGCTATCCTAATCTTTCCTTTTCAGTAAGACTTCTGTCCTCTGGCAGTGCATATGGTAGGTCCCTAATGTTTCTGCATCTCCAGGAAGATGTAGATCCTTATTTTTGCTGGGAAAATCTTCTTAATAGAAATGTAACATTTTAATAAAAACAGATTAATGTTTTTTTCACTTGGTAATAAGTTGTCAAGAACTGAACTTAGGGGGAAAGAGACTGGAGTGGTTAATGGTGATTTAATTTCTGGCATTTTGAGTTTTCTGCTACAATTAGCTGCATTACTTGTGCCAAAGAGCAGTGAAGAATTGTTGAGTTGGTGTATCCTTTAAAAAAACTTGTTATTTTGAAAGAACTTAAAGCTCACAAGATGTTACAAAAATAGTAAAGTGGCCTTACCCTAGATCCAGTTTTCCCCATTTATAACATTTCACTTAGTCCATTTTCAAAACCAGAAAATTAACATTGGCATAATGCTATTAACTAAACCACAGACCTTTTTTCAATTTCACCAGTTTTTCCACACATATTCATTTAGTTGCTGGATACTTTTAATTCTTGCTGATTTGTAATCTGGCCTTGCTTGGATACAACAGGAAAGACACTATCTGGATAAAATTCTACAGTATTAGAGAGACTATAACACATTAATGTGTTCCTTTATCATGAGCAATACCCTGCCTACATTGCTTCTAAATTTTCTGATTAGTTAGGCTGTTTGGCATCTGAAACAATCCAAGACAAACTTAGAAATATTAGGCAACACAAAAGACAGTAAGAACTGCTCATAGCTTGTTGCCTAGAAAACCAGGTATAGCAGGATATTCTAGATATTTCCTGAAGCTTCTACAGTGAGTAGGATTAGTACTGGGGACAAAATGAGGAGTTTAGAGTAAACCAGTATTTCAGTCAAGAGTTAGTTGGCACTTAGTTAATGGCACTGGGAATAGCTTGTGGAGAGAAGAGAATGCAATGGTATAGACTCCTAATGTTTGATAAAATACTATTTTCAGAGTGGTAGAGAGGTTTTATTTGCCTAAATAGCTGTCATTAAATGGAATAACAACCACATTAAACCAAATTAATTGCAAACACAGCAGCAACCTGTGGAGAAGTTGAAACTCCAGTTTTGTGGATTACAGTTTTGAGTTTTACGATTGACATTTTTAAGTCCTCTATTTAAGGGGTCACAATTTTATAACAATGTGTGTCTTATTAAGTTCCTAGGTCATTGTGAGCACTTGATAAATATTTGCTGAATGTTGTTTTTTTGAATGAATTTAAGATGGAAACAAAAACTTGTCATCCAGTTAACTAGAGTGAATGTAGGGAGAATTTTTTTGCTGTAACATGGAGAGTTTATTTTCAAAATGAGGAAAGAGAAAAAAATATTCAGACTCGTACCTGGTGAAGTGCATTCTCTGTATACTTTTTGATGGAGAAATTGATCTATAGAGCTGCTTAATTTTTTGAGGCATTTAGACAGCAATGAAAGGTAGTTCTCCACAGGACACCAATTCAAAAGGAGAGATCAGACTCTGGCCTTATCCCCAGTCTATTTGAAACAAGCTATCTAGTTTCTCCTGCAGACACCTTGTCAACAACATGCAACAATGTCAGGTGCCTTGCAGGAAAATAATCTGAGTCCCAAGCTAGCTGTGCTCATCGACAATTACAATGAACATATCAAGGAAGAATTTGCAGAGACTCAAAGGAAGCACAATGGGGTAAGGTAATCACTTTCAGTGAAAAACTGTTTTCTTGAAAAGAGGCTTCCTGCAAGCACACCAAGAGTCTGTAATCTAGCCTATCCATTATATATCCTTTATTATTCATGATATCCTATTCTTCTACCCTGTTGCCTGGTAACTTTTTCTGAGGACTGAGTTTCTGCAGCCATGTGGTGCACTCTTCCTGTGATGAGGAAACATCTGGGCCCCCTTCTGCAGGCTTTGGAAGGTGATGTGTCTTGTCAAGGGGTAAAGATAAAATGGATTTAATTTCTGCTTAAAACTATCATAGATGTTCCAAATAGAATACGTAAAATTTCTCTGTATTAGAAAAAGAAACGTGATACCAATTGTATATTTTCTTTTCTTTATTTATTCTCTGTAAGTCTGTCAGATGATAAATTGTAAATAACAATGATTAAAGAGTCATGCTACTGATGGATGTCCCTTTCTGTATAAACAGTGCCAGTTCTGGGCTTTGTAACCTTTGCTCTTGACAGTCTTACATCATTCCTGGGGAAGTGATGGGGCATGGGTCAGAGCTGGGGTGTACGTAGTGTGGACACCTGTTTGTGGGGCTGTCCAACAAAGGATTATTTAAATAGGCCTCTAACATATGAGTTGACTGTTTATTGGGAGGAAAGCACCTTGGTCTCTGACATATCTAAACATACGAAACACTGGGATTTTATGTCCTCACGTTAATTAGTCCAGTTCTGGGGAATCCAGTCCAGAATTAACTGGCAATCCCTTATTGTTATGGTTACAGAGTTGTCTTGTTTGATACACAGAAATCCTTTTTAAATCCCAATATAGTCTGTTTCAGACTGTCCGCACATGCAAAAACCATCCCCCCAGAAAAAAAAAAAAAAAAAAAAAACTATGAAAACCAGAATTTAGACTCAGTCATTATATTAGAGATTAGAATGAAACGACCCCAACCAACCAATTTCTTACCTGGTCTCTGAGAATAAGTTTATACTTTTAGTTTTCTGAGAATGTTTCTCAGAATATTTGAGTTTTCTGAGCACGTTTCTCAGCACTGGGCATGGTAGATAAATCACAGGGCCAAGGTTTGGCAGGGATGGATGGGATCATTGTGTACCATATTGTTCTTCTGATTTCCAGGAGAACAGAATGAGCCCATGCAAAACATAAACTTATGATGATAAAAAAAAACATACCTATCCATTCACTCATCAGTAAAAACATATTATGATCGTTATCAAGCTGTGTCCTATGAGTGATAAAATATTTGTAAAATATAGAATTAAATGGCATCTATTGTGAATAGAACTCTATACTAGTCTCTCCGAGCACCTCCAGCAGTTCAGCCCATCTTTCAAAAGTCACAACACCTTGAAAACAGCAACTTTAGTGGAAAAAAGGGAAGAGAGTAGTTTCATCACTTGGCTTGAATGAAAATCTTGAGGAAAGGAGAGACAGGTGGTCTTGCTCTGAAGTTGTCTGGACTTCACTTAATTCAATCTGTCTTAGGCTGGCGGGCATCCAGAGACTGCGGTAATGCTGAGCCTCCACAGCCCAGGCCCTCCCCCTTCTTTATAGAAATGAGTTTTGTATGAGACAGGCACACAACCTGGTCTCCTCCTTCTTATTCCTCATCACCTCTGAGCTCTAGGACATTTAAAAATGAGCCTTTGGGTCTAGACTCTCACAATTAGGCTTAATTTTACTCCATGACTTTCAGAAAATATTGTTAAATTGTGGTCTCTTTAGAACAGTTGAAAGTGGGATAAACATAGGAGCTGATTTCCACCCCTATGATAAAGAAGTTTTATTGGCTGGGCACGGTGGCTCACGCCTGTAATCCCAATACTTTGGGAGGCTGAGGCAGGCAGATCACTTGAGGTCAGGAGCTCAAGACCAGCCTGGCCAACATGGTGAAACCCTGTCTCTACTGAAAAAACAAAAAACAAAAAACAAAAATTAGCCGAGTGTGGTGGCGTGTGCCTGTAGTCCCAGTTACTTGGGAGGCTGAGGCAGGAGAATCACTTGAACCCGGGAGGCAGAGGTTACAGTGAGCCGAGATCGCACCACTACAGTCCAGCCTGCTGACGGAGCGAGACTCTGTCTAAAAAAGAAAAAAAAGTTTTATTTAGGAATCTAATGTTCTCATAACCAGATTTGTTCTTTCAATCTAATTTTCTTGATATAGGATAAATGATTACTAAGTAAGTTGGTATCATTGATCAAAACCTCTAGGATCAAAAGCCAATATAAATTATCACAGTGTTTTAGGGATCATTGCTGTTCATAAATAATTAAAACACTGAAAGAGGCCATTAAATAGATTAAAGTATGCTCAGTAGAGTTTGATGTATGATACACAGTTTTATTCCGTGTGAGCTGGGGCTAGTGATGGTCCCATTACCAGTCTACTACAAATATGGAAACCTAGAGTAAGCATTAGAAACCTTGATAGCAGTTTTGTCACTGGAAGCAGGGTCTTGAGTGTGAGTCATCCAGGTTTTTGGCATTTGGAACGAAAAGTTGGACAAAATGCACAAAGTAACAAAGGAACGAACCCGTGAAGGCAAAAGCAGCGATTTATTAAACTGAGACAGCACTCCACAAGGTGGGAGTGGGCCTGAGCAAGTGGCTCAAGGGCCAAGTTACAAAGTTTTCTGGGTTTTAAGTAGTTCTTTTGAGGTCCCCATGGGCTACCCCTTACCTGGATGAAGGATTTGGTTTATGGCTAAGTAAAGGCTGAGGTGAATGTGTGCCCTATGCAGATGATGGCATGGCCCATGCTTAGTGCTTGGCCCACAGCCAATCCAAGGCACTTTCCCTTTCCATCTGAGACATGGTGGAAGTGTGGCAGGCCAGGTCTCACTAACAACTGTTTCAGTACTGACTAAGTGGTTAAATATTAAAAGCCAGTGCCCTTATACAAAGGCTGGGATGTAACAAAAGCCCATCAAGAATTCTGCCTAGGCCTTTCCTGGGCCTCTTAAAGCATGACAAAATAACGAAGGAATTCTTAACAGGACCCCATTTAGGATTAAACAAGTTTTACTGTGGGTCTGAAGAAACTCCCCAGGCCTCCACAAACAAGTTCATTGGGGGGTCTAAGAGAACTCCTCAAACCTCCATGACTTAGCAGGAGAAAATACAAGGGTAATCACCCCAGCACCTGGACCCATTTAGGTTAAGTAAATTTGCTGAGGCTCCAGAGGGAGGTTTTCAGGACTCAGACCTTAGTTACAGATTAAAAGAAGTTAATCACTTATGTCTTTAGATAAATGCACACTTACAGGTAGACAGATCACTTAGAAAGTATATAAGCTCTGAAAAACTGTAATTTTGAGTTGGTCTGGCGATAATTTCCAGGCCTTCTCCCTGTAACCGGTTACAGAAATAAGAACTCTCCTCTTCCCCAGTTCATCTGCATCTTGTTATTGGACCTTGAAACACAGCAGCCCAACCCTCAGTTTGGTCTGGGACCAGAAGGTTGTAGGGAGAGTAGCCTTTGATCCTTTGCTACTGGGAGGTGGGGAGATGGGGTTTTTCCTTCTTTAGCTTTAGGAAGTTGGTGTTAATTGGCCCTAGTTTTCCGGCCCCCAGAACCAGGTGTTTTCCTTTTGATCCAGCTTTGGGAAGCCAGCACCAATTGGTCTCAGATTCCCTACTCCCAGCCCTTGCTGTTTTTCCTAATTGAGCTCTAGGAAGTCAACACGAATTGGCCTTAAGTACCCTGCCTCCAAACCCTATTCTGCCTCATTTTGGCAGAGTATTTTTATAAGTCTTGAATCTAATAAAAAAAAATCGGGGCTTGTGTTTTGTATGCCTTTTGTTTTTCTTTTTCTAGCACTTCTTTTTTTTTTTCTTTTTTCTGTATTTTCTAAAAGCACCTATCTGGGATGGCTTGGAAACACAAACAGGCCCTTCAGCACAGTTTGAGATGCACTGATATAGGAGGTTACAACACATTCTCAGTACTTCGCTAATGAAGTTCTGAGATTCTGATTCCACGCCACATTCCAACTTTTGAATACTGGTAATTTACGCATGATTCTACATAAAATTCTTAACAAAATCAGTGCTCATTTTCTCAAATAAGTTTCTTTAGAGGAGGAGGTTTGGGATCAGAAGTTGGGCTGTGAAGTGGCACAATGCCTGGATCTATACATCCAAAAAGGAGTGGAAAATTAAATAATAGTCGCCCAACTCTGGCTCCTAGACTCAAACCTTTTCTCTAAAATGAGCACTGGTGCAAATACCGTGAGGCCTTCCTGCAATGAAGTGCCAATCTCAAACGCCAGGGCACCGACCCAGTGCGTGTTACTCCTCTCCTAAGAGCTAGGCCGGGTGACACGCCCACCAGGATTAAAGATCCGGCTTCCAATAAGCCTTACGCGGCAGTGACGGACACCTGCGCTGAGGCGGAGCGAGAAGAGCCTGAAATGGCTCCGGGCTTTGCGTCACGCAGCTCCTCCCCTCGGCCTATCTCACCCGACGCCGACTCCGAGGGCAGGGAGCGGTTGGCGGACTGAGATTGGAGGGATCAGCGCAGACTCGATGACGCAACGGGAGGCGGGGCGTGGCCGTACTCTGATTGGTGACGGGTGAGGTGGGCCCGGCTGCTGCCCGAAATCTTAGGACTTCCGAAAGCAGCGGCGGCGTTTGCTTCACTGCTTGAAAGTGTGAATGCGCGAAGATGCGAAAGGTGGTTTTGATTACCGGCGCGAGCAGGTGAGGCCTCCTTTGGGTTGGCAGAGGTGGCAGCGGATGAGGGGTCCGAGAGAGCAGGGATCTGCGACCTTTCACGAACGGACCCCGGAAGCGCCCGCCCCTGGCTTTGCCTAGGTTTCCCGGAGTCTCTGCAGCAGGTGTGGAGCGTGCCGGCCTCTTGAGGTGCTCAGTAACTGGTACTTGGTATTAAACATGACAGTGAAAAGGAAAACTAGAACATCAGTAAGTGATGAGTGTGGCAGTGATGATCCTGAGGTTATCAAGGGAATAGGGTACTCACGCGGGCTCCGCCCCTTTTCCATCTTTGCCTGCTATTCGTATTGATCGTCAGTGCCCAGCAGTTTGCTCCTGACCACGTGATCATGTCTTATACTACAGGTGTTTTGTCTGTACAATCCTTTTGCCTACAAATTTGAACACCCATGAGCATTAGGACTGTGGAGAAAAAACAATCCCCTTCCATTTAGCTCAGTGCTAGAGAGCTAACACACTCTTCAGAAACCCAGAGAAAGTTAACCTTTTCATATGAAGGCATGGTTGGGGTGCAGAATAACTAGCTCATAATAATTCCAGGGTTGCTCACTTAGTCTCTCAGCCTCTTACCTGTCATTTGCACTTCCATGAAAAATGTGTAGAGGATGAAGCCAATCAAACCATTTTTTCTACTAGTTGCATTTGGCATTTTTAAATGATTAAGATAGAGGACATGTTAAACATTTAAGATTGATCCACTTTCAATTATTCAACCACATGCATATTAACTAAGCCAGCTTGGTAGGTGTCTGCAGTTGGCAACTTTTTAGCATACCCTCTCAAGTGACTTCAACAGTTGATTGGTGCTTCTTATGTGGAAGGTACTGAAATAAGTCAGAATTGATTTTGTCTGTTTCTTTTACATATATTGTGATATGTGCAATTATATTTAATACCTGCTATTCTCATGTGAGGACAAATAACTGTTTTTGATGCTTTGTTGTTGGTGCTAACAGATTACTGATGGTTCCAGGCTCTTTTTGGGTTTTAACTATTAATATATTTTCCTGGAATCAGCTTAAGTCATGAAAGAGAAATTATTACCCAACTTTTCATTGCTATCAGCCAGGCTGATCTGACTGATGTCACCACTCCTATGCGGTTTTACAGTGTTGGTTTTGAAGTTCTTTGTCTCCAAATGCTGTACTCATCCCTGCTTCCCTTTTCTTGGTCCTCATCTAATATTTAGTGTATTCCTACCTTCTACATAATCACGTTGAGTTCTTTCTTTTTCTATTATTTAATCATAGTTGTCGAGAGGGATTTGTACATCCTGCCATGTTACTGATGCCTCATCTGAAAGATTCATCTGTTCCTTTATCGGAGATTTCTGGTGCTCCTTATGGGGTTTATGATACCAATAGGTGGTAAAGCCCTTGCCCCTGAGGAGCCTAGACAGCAAAGTAAAGATGCACATAGGAAACAGCTAATAAGATGCTCTTTTCAGCCCTTACTGGTGATATATTAAATCATTCTCATGAGTGGCATAATAAGTACAAAATGAAAACCACTGGCAGGATAAAGCCCAGTAATAGCAAAACTAAAGAACAACTCTTGTTTTCAGTCCAGTTATTGTGTCATTGAAGTTTTTCAAAATGAGAAAAACACAAACTAGACTGTGTCTCAAGCAAGTGACTATTGGAGTGGAGGATTCCTCCATTCTTAAATAATTGTTGAGTCTTTTATGTTTTTCTGGGCTTCTCACTGGAGGTCAAGTTGACACAGTTTTCTGAACCAGAGAGAAATGCCTCTACCTGATGCCATCCCAGATAACCCACATCTTGTGTCTGAATTGTCTTCCCAGTGGCATTGGCCTGGCCCTCTGCAAGCGGCTGCTGGCAGAAGATGATGAGCTTCATCTGTGTTTGGCGTGCAGGAATAGGAACAAGGCAGAAGCTGTCCGTGCTTCTCTGCTGGCCTCTCACCCCACTGCTGAGGTCACCATTGTCCAGGTGGATATCAGCAACCTGCAGTCCGTGTTCCGGGCCTCCAAGGAACTTAAGCAAAGGTATATCTCTTGCTGATGGATTTTTTTTTTCTTATGTGATTGTGCAGCATAACACTTAATAAAATAAGAGAGGAAAGAAAAACCTAAAAAGAAACAGGTGCAGTGTAAGCAGTTATGTTGAGGAAATCTGTATAGGGTGACCCATTGTGTCTCAGTACCACATTTTCTTTCTTTTTTTTTAATTTTTTTAAGAGATGGAGTCTTGCTCTGTCACCCAGGCTGGAGTGCAATGGCGTGATCTTGGCTAACTTCAACCTCTGCCTCCTGGGTTCAAGTGATTCTCCTGCCTCCACCTCCTGAGTAGCTGGGATTACAGGCACGCACCACCACGGTGGCCTGGTTAATTTTTGTATTTTTAGTAGAGATGGGGTTTCACCATGTCGGTCAGGCTGGTCTCGAACTCCTGACCTTGTGATCCGTCCGCCTCGGCCTCCCAAAGTGCTGGGATTACAGGCGTGAGCCATTGTACCCGGCCAGTACCACATTTTTAACCTCAATCATGATCATAATTATTTCATGGAAACTAATTTATAAGTACATCCTGATGTGTGATCAGTTGGTGTTGGGATTACAGGCGTGAGCCATTGTGCCTGGTACCACATTTTCAGTCTCAATCATGATCATAATTATTTCATGGAGACTAATTTATAAGTACATCCTGATGTGTGATCAGTTGCACTGCCTTACGTTAAGGTAACTCTTTTGACATTTGAATTCATTTTTTACATCTTTCCTTCACATGATGAATTCATTAAGTAGATAAGGCAAGTAGTGACATTTAACAAGTGAAGAAACTGAGACACAGAAATAAGGGTAATGTCCCTAGGAAGGTCATCCAATCATATATTAGTTGAGTGAGTCCAAGACCCCAGGGCTTCTCCCTGCTTCCTAAGGGGTATTTTTTTCCCTAGGCCAGTAAAGATTTGTTCACACCTTCACAGTAATTGGCATGTAATAGACATTTGATCAACAGTTGGTATGTGAAGGAATAGAGTATAACTTATAGAGTATAACGTATAACTCCCCTGCAAGTGAACACAAAATTGCATGTAGGTGCACAATGCATTTTTCTGGGCAGAGATGGCTTTTTATTTATTTGTTTGTTTTTAAATTTTAGGAGGAATGTATGATGAAAAGAGGCCAAGAACCCTGCACTAGTCTATGCCGCCCTAGGACTATCTTGAATAATTAATTTTCAAATATTTTAGTATTGAGGCACTTAAGAGACAAATAACTACCTTGTTTCCTTGGACAGTAAAATGAAATGGGTAGAAACAAGGAAGCCCTTCTTAATGAAGACATTTGCTGAAGAAAAATACTTTGTATTTTATGTGAATTGATAATAATTTGCATTTCCCTCTTCCAAATGCACCAGTTACAAAGTGAAAGCTAGTTTTCTTCGCTCTGGCTCTTCTCAGTGTGGCCTTAGTCCTTTGTAAATGTGGTTTCTCTCTCCAGTACTGCTGAGCTCTTAGAGTTTTCTGCCACATCTTAAAAAAGGAAAAAAAAAAAAAAAAAAACCTGAGGAGATTTTCTAGGTTCTGTTTTCACATAAATTGTGATATATTCTATATCCCCTACTCCTCCATAACTTAAGAGTCTCCAGGGCTGTGAAACTGTATACTGAATGTCCTTATGGAGATAAAAACTATGAAGTTGAGAGAAGTTACGACTTTTAAATCATGTTTACAGGCATTCTTTTCCCAAACTTTCTTAGCCAGCTGGCTTCTTACCTGATTTGTTTAGATTTTGTTATATTCTCTTATTTGGAAGAAAAGAACCTTCATTTCCCAGTTAATAATAGCCCATTCCGATGCAGTTTACTTTTGAGACCTAAAGTTTTAACGTTTATAGTACTGACTATTCCCGAATGCCTTCAAAGGTTCAAGATATTCGGTACTTTATCACAAGTTTAATAATTTACTATTTTGTAAGATATTTAGCAACTTAGCACAGATTCAAGGCAGTGAGGCTGTGGTACCAGTAAGTTGTCCCAGCTACCTGTCATCAGCATTGTAGTGAAGTTTTGAGGTATTTTTTTAGTCCGCAAAACAGCCTTTTTTTTTTTTTTTTTTTTTTTTTTGAGATGGTTGGTGTTATTCAAGTTTAGGAAATGATGGTTGTAATGATATTCACAAATATGGAATATATGAAAGTGTCCAGATAGATTCTTGCTTATGTCAAGAAACTGCACTCAGTGGCTCAAATGGATCTCTTCAGTTCTAAGCTTGAAGTCAGCTAGAGCTAAAGAGAGCTTGAGATTCCTTCTAAAGGCTCAAGTAGCACCATCCCTGACACCTGGTCTTTCTATCTGTAGCATTGTCTTCTATTAGATATGTGCAGATGAAAACTAGTAAGAAACAGTGATTCTGTTTTATCCATATTAGAGCAATGTGTCAATTATTTTATCGATGAGTGGTATGCCATTTTACTGAAGCCAGAGCTTAATTTGGTGTCTTTACTAAACATTTCCTCTCTGTTCCTAGCCAAATATGTTAATATTCTTAGATAAAAGTTGGCAAATAAGGTAATAGAACAAGCAACAATGGATGAACTCACACTATCTTTGTGGCACTTATGTGATGAACTGATGGTAACAATATCAGCATTTTATATGGTCAGTTTAATAATTTGAGTCATTTGTCAATTATTTATAGGATGATGAAGAAATACTTGGTTTTTTTTTGTTTTTTTTTTTTTTTTGAGGCGAAGTCTCGCTCTGCCGCCCAGGTTGGAGTGCAATGGCCAGATCTCAGCTCACTGCAAGCTCCGCCTCCTGGGTTCACGCCATTCTCCGGCCTCAGCCTCCCGAGTAGCTGGGACTACAGGCGCCCGCCACCTCGCCCGGCTAGTTTTTTGTATTTTTAGTAGAGACGGGGTTTCACCGTGTTAGCCAGGATGGTCTCGATGTCCTGACCTCGTGATCCGCCCGTCTCGGCCTCCCAAAGTGCTGGGATTACAGGCTTGAGCCACCGCGCCCGGCCTGAAGAAATACTTGTATGTGATCTGTATTGAAGACTATGCATGTAGTTCAGGGTCCTAACTTTAGAAGCTGTGGCTCTTAATGTCTTGGGTTAGTCAGAGACAGTTTGGTACATAGAACTCTAGGAGATATTCTGAATATTTATGGTGTCTGTGAGTATCATGAGAGCAGGCTTTACCTGCCTTGAACCTAGTTCAAAACCAGTACATCTAGATGAAGGCTTACATACGTTTAAAACTGAAAATGCTTTTTCAACTCATCATTTCATATCCCTTCCATGACAAGTATTCAAGAGGGAGCCCAGCAAGAATATCTTACCCCGATTCATCTTTTACAATCTCATTGTATTCTTATGAACTTTCATTATTTTATGATACATAGGACTTGTCCATGAACACTGAAAGGTTTCCACATGGATCTTCTGTTTTATTATATATTTTGGCATTCAGATTTCAACATTAATAGATCAAGTCAGGTGAATATCAATATTATATAAATTTTACTTATCAACCAGAGGAGATGTGGATTTTTTTTTTTTTAAAGCAAGAGACTTTGTAAGATGAGGAGAGTGGAGTGGGTTTAACAGATAGAGGGTTGCTGCAGTTCCTTATTGAGAGAACAGAGCTGAAAGGAATTATTGATCAGAGGTTTTACTTAAAGTCCACAGATTCTGTTTGAAGCAACTACCAAAGAAAGAATTCTCAGATGTTTACTGTGGCTAAAGAAAAACTGTTGAGAAAGAAATGCTGTAACTTTAATGTACTGTAAATTCTTCTCAGCTTGCTGTGGCTAATTTATTAATTTAAAAAGTATTTTTTGTCTTTCTTAGGCCTCCTTGATTCTAGTCACTCTAGAGATAGAATGCACAATCTTGACCTGATGCTTTTACTTGCAACTCACAATCTCGTTTGGTTGTTTACTTGCAGGTTTCAGAGATTAGACTGTATATATCTAAATGCTGGGATCATGCCTAATCCACAGCTAAATATCAAAGCACTTTTCTTTGGCCTCTTTTCAAGGTAATTTCCATTTTCTGGATGAACTGATTGGAAGGAATGTGTTCATTTTTCTGCCTAGTTTTGCTGGTGTGTTAAGTTGGGGGGATGAAAGGTAAGGGGTCGTTGAAAAGGTTGAAGATAGAAAAAGGAGATGATGCAACCATATCATGAAAGAAAAGCAATCCTCTTTTGTGGGGAGTGCTGAAAGTTCTGTTTTGTATGGTATTCTAAGTCCCAGTACATTCTAAATGGTTGAATGGTTTAGAAGATCATTTTTTGGTCTGCCTGGATATGCCTATTAGCAAGAACATTTTGAAATTAGGCAGAGTTCTCAGAGAGACTCCAACTTCCAGGAAAGCTACTTTGAACTATTTCCCACTTGTATGTCAGGTGCTGTGACCAGTAGGTTGGGGAAATGCAGAGAACTAATGTCTTCCTGGGAAATTCTCATTACACATTAGTGTAGTGGCTTTCAAAAATTTCAAAAATGTTGAAACACAACCGGGAGAATTCTTATTTATAGGAATAAATCTTACTTTGTGACCCAGTACACTTACTCATAAATAGGCATTCTTACTATGTGCTACTTACTATACCAGTACTTTTGCTTTACTTCTTTTTCATTAAAAGACAGACAGACTCTCTCTCTCTCTCTCTCTCTCTCTCTCTCTCTCTCTCTCTCTCTTTCTCTCTGTCTCTCTGTCTGTCTCCATGTTGGCCTTGACCTACTGAATTGACCTCACAGCAGAACACTATATTAATATGTTTGAAGAATTCCCAGTTATAAAAACAACCTGTTTAACTTTGTTTTTGGCAATTAAACATACTTTATACACAGGAAGACTTTTTTCCCTTTGGCATAGCTTATTATTCGTTTAGAACAGTTTACCTGTAACTTGACTGGGGAAGAGGTAAAGAGTTTTAGCAGCAGATTGTTGAGAGACTCAAGTTCCTATTGGTAGTGTGAGCTATACGTGTGTAAGTACTTCTGTGAATTAGTCGGGGGAAGGAGGGACTTTGGCATTTCATTTAATGCAATAATCCAGTCTGAGAAACAGGTATTTTTATTCCTGTCATTACAGAATCAAGGGAGGTATAGTTTATGGGGGGGGGGGCGCGGGGGATGGGTTGGGAAGTGTTTTCAGCATTTCCAGTTAAAGAAGCTTTAAAAAGTCATGTAATTATCTTCTGCTATTTCAGAAAAGTGATTCATATGTTCTCCACAGCTGAAGGCCTGCTGACCCAGGGTGATAAGATCACTGCTGATGGACTTCAGGAGGTGTTTGAGACCAATGTCTTTGGCCATTTTATCCTGGTAAAAAAGCTGTGGGCTTAATAAGCTAATATTTGGTGTGATAGTTTCTGTAAAGCTCTGGGCACGGGGCATTGCTATAGTTGAGCAACCAGTTAACTGACTTAATCTCATGTTTGAGTTTTCTTGATTGCATTTGGCTTGTTTATTGTAAGCATGGAATACTTCTGGAAGCTTTCCTAGTAGATTTTTCTTCAATAAGTGTACTAATAGTTTTTGATTTACAGAATTACTGCAGAGATAATATAGAGAGTTTCTGTATGCCTTACACCCAGATTCCCCTATTAACATTTTGCATTGGTATGATGCATTTGTCAAAATAGATGAATCAATTTTACTACATTATTATTAACTAAAGTACACACTTATGCCAATTTCGTTTTTGCCTAATGTCTTTTTTCAGTTCTAGGATTCCATTACATTTAGCAGTCATGTCTCCTTAGGCTCTTCTTGGTTGTGACAGCTTCTCAGACTTTCCTTGTTTTTGATGACATTGACTGTTTTGAGGAGTACTGCTTAGTGTTTTGTAGACTGTCAATTGGGATTTGTCTGATGTTTTTCTCATGGTGAGACTGAAGAATGTGGTTTTTGGGAGGAATGTCACAGAGGTAAAGTGACATTCTCATGACATCATATCAAGGGTGTATTCTATCAGTATGACTTCTCAGTGTTGATATTAACCTTGATCTCCTGGCTTGAAGTAATGTTTGTCAGGTTTCTCCATTGTTAAGTTACTTTTTCTTTCTCCCCTTTCATACTCTACTTTTTGAAAGAAAGTTGGGCCGGGCACGGTTGCTTATGCCTGTAATCCCAGCACTTTGGGAGGCCAAGGCGGGCGAATTACCTGAGGCCGAGAGTTCGAGATCAGCCTGACCAACATGGAGAAACCCCATTTCTATCAAAAAACAAAATTAGCCGGGCATGGTGGCACATGCATGTAATCCCAGCTGCTCGGGAGGCTGAGGCAGAAGAATTGCTTGAACCCAGGAGGCAGAGGTTGCGGTGAGCCGAGATCATGCCACTGCACTCCAGCCTGGGCAACAAGAGTGAAACTCCGTCTCAAAAAAGAGAAAAAGAAAGAAAGTTACTATGTGCAGCCAATGCATACTGGCTAATGCTTTACCTCCTTAAGAGAGTGGGTTATCTACAGAAATTGTTTGGATTTTTTCTGCAAGGGAGATTTGTCTGTTCTCTTTTATTTATGTCTTTATTCAGTCATTTATTTTTTCCACATGGACTCATGAATATGTATTTCCTGCTTTGAAATTATAAATACTATTTTATTTTCTTGCTCAAATGTTTTCACTTTTAACCACTGGGAGCTCTTTCAGTTGGCTCCTGTATCTCTTTGGCACACCCCCATCATTGTGGTTTTCTGTTTTTGTTTTAGCTTTCATTTTGAGCAGTTTCTTACTATCTGGCACCACAAGATGCTTCAGAATCATCTTGTGTGTTTCCTTGTTCAGTCCTAGAATCAGATACTTTTCTAAAGACATATGTTTTCTTTTATCAGAGAATGGTTATTAGAAACCAAGATCTGGGTGCTTATTGCTACTGAGAGATCAGTGTCTTCTAAACCCTCTGTGCTAATAGACTACAGAGATATGTGTGTGCATACTAGCGTACTAACTCATGTATGTATGCATATCTATAAATATTTTTCTATGTAACTAATTCATGTCTCTTTTAGATAACTAGTTAATACTGATGTCTCTGACCCTAATCTCTTACCATATAGATCATTCTAGCTTCCTCCCCATGCTTATTTGTGATGTCTCACTTCAACAGTGACAAACCTGACTCCCACCATCCTCCCTCCTAATTGTTCAATTTCAGTATAGATGTACAGTGGTTTCAAAATTGTTATCTGTATTCTGCCAGTATATTTTAATACTTTTTTGTTCTTTTTTTTTTTCTTTCACCCAGATTCGGGAACTGGAGCCTCTCCTTTGTCACAGTGACAGTCCATCTCAGCTCATCTGGACATCGTCTCGCAATGCAAGGAAATCTAATTTCAGCCTCGAGGACTTCCAGCACAGCAAAGGCAAGGAGCCCTACAGTTCTTCCAAATATGCCACTGACCTTCTGAGTGTGGCTTTGAACAGGAACTTCAACCAGCAGGTAAGGCCCATCTCAGTGATATGGAAATGGCAGGGCAGGTTCTCTTAATTACCTACTATTGATTTCCTAGTAAGGTAGCTGGCTTTCCACTAACTTTTGTAGTTTAGATTGATAGTTGGTGTATACGAAAATGTTAGGGCAGAGATAATTAGCTCCTGACATTTTAGTTACAGGTAGTTCATTCATCATTCTGTGGTTCTTCAGGAATTCTAACTTATGTTAACAGAGTGACACTACTAAAAGTGATAATAACTACTGTTTTGGTACTTGTTGTGTTTCAGGTTCTGTATTCATCTGTGTGTGTTATTAAATACCTGCCTCATTATATGGAGGTGGGTTTAAGTATAACCATTTTCAGATGAGGACTCTAAATCTCGGAGAACTTAAGTCATTTACCCGATGGTCACACAACTTGTAAATGGTAGAGCTCAAAATTGAGCCCGAGGCTGGCTGACTTTATGGCTTGGACTTTTCCCCCTGCACCATGCTGCCTCCTAGTGGTTGTCATAGCAGATGTTTATAGGACAGTGAAGTAGTTATAAAACCTTCTGGATGGTGGTGGTTTTAGGTAAGACTCCAGAGCTCTGTCTCTATGAGGATCTCAGTTTATAGGATGTTTTACAGGGGATGGTGACCCTTGTTGGTCATACTGAGTCCTTGTGGCCACTATGGTCTGCAGTTTACTGCTTCTTTTATCTCTCTGTTGCCCAGGTCTAAATTCTTACCTGAAAATCTCTAGTCTTCCCCTTGGACATTTTCTTTTGTTTGCTTTGATTAACAGTGTTGTATGAGTATGGGGCTATGGAGAAGTTTAATTTCACTAACATTTATAAAAGACTTATCATGTTTAGGGCACTGGGCCAGGTTTAGGGTTGAGGAGAAAAGTGAAATAAAAAGATGATCAAGAATTATGTTTTCCCTCAAGGGAGCTTCTTGGATCATGAATTAGACATAGAAATATAAGCCTTATGTGATAGTCTAGACCTGGCTTATTCTGGAATGGCTACCTTTATCAGGTGGTATTTTGTGATCTGGCTCTTAGAATCATGCCCCCCCTTTTTTTGAGACAGAGTCTCGTTCTGTTGCCTAGGCTGGAGTGCAGTGGCACAATCTCAGCTCACTGCAACCTCCATCTTCTGAGTTCAAGTGATTCTCATGCCTCAGCTTCCCGAGTAGCTAGGATTACAGGCATGTGCCACCACACCCACGTTTTGTATTTTTAGTAGAAACAGGGTTTTACTGTTTTGGCCAGGCTGGTCTCGAACTCCTGATCTCAGGTATCTGCCTGCCTCAGTCTCTCAAAGTGCTGGGATTACAGCGCCTGCACCCAGCCTGAATCATGCCTCTTATAAAGTTGAAGCTAAGAGCATACTTTCTAGGACTGAATTTGAATCCTGACTCTTTGTAACCCTAGGCATACTATTTAATCTCCCTATGCCTCAGTTTCCTCATGTGAAAAATAGGGATAGTAATAGTGCCTGCCTCACAGATTTATTGGGAAGATGGACTGAGGGGATCTGGATGAAGCACTCACAGCAGTGCTTTGTATTCAGAATGTGAGTTTGTGTGTGCATGTGTCTGTACAAATACATACATGTGGATATGCATGAGCGTGGATATGTATTTGTGTGCCTACCCATGTGTAGGGGGTTCATATGTACGTGTATGGGTTTTGTGGGTGTGTGCACATGTGTTTGTGCATGTATTTTTTGGGTGTGTGCACATGTGTAGGTGTTGGTGCATGTGGTCTGCAGATGCCTGTACGTGTTCTTGTATAGGCTGTTAATATTGCAGGTTGGACTCAGCATGTTGGCCCCATTGTGCACCTCCTTCCGAAGTTTCTTGAGACGTTTAAAAACTTGTCACAACTGCTTCCTGGTACTCTGAGAACTCCCTTTTAGAGGGATTAGCTTTTCCTTTCATAGAAAGGTCTGGGATTCTATTTAAGTCTCAGTTATCAAGTAAGGTTTGGGATTCTATCTTTTATGAAAGAGGGAGATTTAGCTATTGCTTGTGAAATCTGTTGAGATTGGTTCTCAGCCAATGACTTTTTCTCCCTGGCCTTTATGAGGAAAGAAGCAGCTGAGAAAGAATGACATTACAGTATTCCTTTTGAAGCCCTGTGTTACTGGAAATGTTGTCAGGTTCTATATAGACTGCCTGATAGACTTGAATCATCCATGCATCCTCCCCGACTCAAGCCATATAGAAATACTCAGGATCATCACAATTTAATCCCTATAATTAAACAAATGGAAGGATACAGTCTTGGTTAAGATTGTCTTCTTCTTTCTTTCTTTTTTTATCTCTCAACATCAGAAAATTATATATGTTGGAAACCCTGGATTTTAGTTTGAAGATTTCTTCATTTAGGACAGAATAGTCCACAGGTGTTCCTAGGTAGTTCCTAGAATAAGAACTTTTCCTTAGCTGTTTTGGGGGCAGAGTACATTATTTTCTTAGGAAAAACTTTTGGACTATCATGAGGATAAGTCTTAGCTCTTGACTTTTTTCTAGAGGATTGTTGGTAAATCAAGGGGATTCTCATGTTCTGTCTGTAACAGACAGTTCAGTGAACAGATAGCACCCTAAGCAACAGAACCTGGAGGCTTTTCCTGCTTTATTTGGTGCTGCAGAGTCTTGGCATTGCCTGACATGGATCAACCATCCCTGAGAGTCCCCTTGATTTCCCAGCAATCCTCTAGAAAAAAGTCACGAGCTAAGACTTATCCTCATGATAGTCCCAGGGCTGCAGGGCTTAACTATAGATCACTTAGGACCCTTTAGATTAAATAAGCTCTGTGTTAATTGGGGCTCTCTTTATAGGGTGGAACTTTCTAAAATGAGTTCTAGGCTAAGGACCTGATTTAGAGATCTTCAGTTGGAGAAAGTGACAGCACATACAGCCTGATGCCGGGAGCACCCACCTCAAGCTAGACGTATGGGTCTTATGTACCTGCAGGGAAACAGACACATACTTTAGGTTTAACTGTCTATTTATTAGGCCAGAAACTTCTTGAAGGCAAGGACTGTACTCCGTACATCTTTTAATCGTAAATGCTCATGATTATTGAAAAGTTGATCTTCAGTTAAGCCAATAATAGGGAAAACTCAGATAACCAGGCCCTGCTTTTCTCCCCCAGCTTTAAGATTGGTTATTTTTTATACTGCAAGGTTCATGAGAATAGAGACTTTGTCCTACCAATTTTTACATCCTGGGTGCCTCTCACAGTGGGTTCTCTTAATACATGATTCTTCAACATAAATGTTTTACCCACCTTCAGAGACAACTCAAAACGTAAATTCTTTATTACCTGACTTCTGGCTCATGTACATACCTCTTTTATTAACTAGCATGTAGCTGGACTGAGTCAATATACATTAAGTTAAAGTCTTATTGCTACCCCTGTCTGTTCCTAGGGTCTGTATTCCAATGTGGTGTGTCCAGGTACAGCACTGACCAATTTGACATACGGAATTCTGCCTCCCTTTATATGGACACTGTTGATGCCGGCAATATTGCTAGTAAGTGATGAATACTTCTTTTCTTAGCTCATAAAATCTCTTTTTGGGACCTAGAAGATGTGTTTAAGGGTTGGGAAATGATTTAAGGAATGAACCTGAATGCCATTTAACTTGAGGTTTTGAACTTACTAAATGTGAAACCTCTGCTTAATATTTCTAAGTATTACTGCCACACCACCATTTGAGTGTCCACTTTTCTTTAAAGGAATGTTTCATTGCTCATGCACCACAGATCCCAAGAGTTCTGTAATCATATAATTTCAGAAAACCCATGTTAAACATTGTTAAACTGGACTTCTCTAAGTTTTCAAAGTGGTCATGCGCATTAAAAGTTCCCAAAAAGGGGATAATTGTACATTATGTAACTATAGAACCATATTTTTGTTTCGTGATTTGAACATCTTGCAGGACCATCGTTTCTCTGGCACACATTGAAAAATGCTATTTTTAGGAAATGATTCTCCCTTTAGGGCTCAGGAAGAAATATCTCTCCTTTAGGGCAGGCATAAAGAAAAGATCAGAACTAAATAGACCTTCGTGTTAAAAGTGGTTGATTTGGAGTATGGAGATTAAGTGATGTTTCTTTTTTGACCTCTATTTTTTGTTACTTAAAAAATGTTCTATAATCAGAAAGGCAAGTTTTCTTTTTTAATATTTAAATGAATAATTATTTTGTGACTGTATTCTAAACTACCACAAAAATAACTGTTGTTTTCTTTTCTGCAGCTTCGCTTTTTTGCAAATGCATTCACTTTGACACCATACAATGGAACAGAAGCACTGGTATGTTACTGAAGTTTTTATAACTTGTATGATGGCTTAGCAGATGTGAATTACAGGTTCACTCGTAGTAGAAATAATTTCAACAGAAGAGATAATAAGAGAATAAGCTCTGTGAATAATCGAGGTCCTGTTTGGAGCTAAAGCGGACTATAAGGCTAAGCGCAGAACATTAGGAGTGAAGTTTGCAAGTTTGACATTTACCATGGCACTGGGCACCATGACTATAGGGAAAACACTTCTTTAGAGGCAGGATACACCAGCAGCTGGAGGAGAGACAGAGCAGTGGAAAGCTGGAGGGGCAGGCAAAGCAGGACGATGACTGCACAATCAGTCTGTGATTTCCCATGGAGAAAGAGCATCTTGTGGGTCAACAGCCAAGATAACAAAGTTCAACACCATTCCCCTCTATGAAGATTTTCTTCCCTTTCTTAGAGGATCAAGTTGTTATTTTATTAGGAAGCCAGTCGAGTTCCTTAAATCACACATGGAAATGGGTTGCGTGTGTTTCCTCATCAATGGCAGACATTACTAATGGGCTATAATACTTCTTTCTGTTGTACACAAGTGGTGTCTCTGAATATTCTTCAACCCAGAGCTCCAGAGGCAGCCTCTACTAATGGATCAGAATTGTCCTACATTAAAAACCCATTGTATCTGAGTCAGTTCTTTATGTTTGTCTCCCTCATTCCATTGAGCTCCTTCAGGAATTTTGCTATTCACTTTGGAAACCTAAGGACCTAGCACTGTAGTACTTAGTAGATTATTAAATCTTGACTTAATTGAAATTAGCTAAGGAAAACATAAATGGAATTGGCTTTGATGCTCTTGTTTTGGTAAATGTTACAGAAATAAATGTGTTTATTGTAGGAACACAAATTGATTATAGAAGCAAGTGCTTTTAAACTATATTTTAATTAGTTCTCAATACATTTGCTAAACCGTTCACTGATGATATTTGAGAGGATGTTTATAATTTGTCTGGGGAGCTCTATAAAGTGCTGATTGTGAATCTCCAGCAGCCTCACTCACCTTGGGCAGAAGAAACAAATCATTGACACATCCTTCCTTTCCAGGTATGGCTTTTCCACCAAAAGCCCGAATCTCTCAATCCTCTGATCAAATATCTCAGTGCCACCACTGGCTTTGGAAGAAATTACATTATGACCCAGAAGGTAAATGTGCTTACGTTGTTGCACTGATGTTTGCTGCTGGGTTGATGAATTAAGCCCGTGTTCCTGACCAGCCCCTCAGCCCCCCAGCTTCCCTTCTCTGAGTACTCACTGTTCACCAGCATCACACTGGCCTGATTTTATTTCATCCTGCTCTCTCCTGTTTCTTGCACATCTTGTTCTCCTGACCTAAGCTGCTCTCAGCCTCTTGATGATTAATTTCTGCTCATCCTTCAGATCAGCTTATCCCATAGCCTTTAGTGACCCTGTAGACCAGGCCTGGGTGCCTCTCTGGTAGGCTTTCTTGACATCCTGTACCTGTTGCAGATCATGCTTGTTCACCTTCGGGTTCCTCTGTCAGAATGTAAGCTCTGTGAGGAGGAGGTAGACGCTCAGTAAATACGTTGCAAGTTGGATGAAATAGAAAGTGTTTTTCTGTGTGAACTTAACTTCCCTTTGAGTATTCAATTCTGCTTGTGACAATTATCAGCTTTAATAGATTGGTGTTTTGAAGAGGAACAGGATAATGTGCAGAAAAAAAATCAAATCAGTACTGTGTTTTTAGACTTGGTGTAATCTAAAATGAAATCAAACATAGAGTTACATACTGGGGAATGAGAACATTTATTTTGAACTGAGAGAAGTACTTTGTTATACTTTTGTCATGACTAAGGTTTATTTCAGCCTTCGATTTTCCACGATCCAGCCTGTTGTGAGGAGGTATTAGCTTAAGATAAAATAAGATTGAGGTGACTGTTAGGTAAGTCAAGTAACTGGCATCAATCTTGGCCTCTGTTAGTAGCATGAGCTGAAAGGGGAGCCATGCACTTGGCTTCCTGTGCTATCTGTTCACTGAAAGTGAACCTTCCAGGTTTTTCAAAAATACATTCTGTGGGATACTAGTTTCTTGAGAAGATTTGCAAGAAGCAGTTCCTGTAGCAAGTAAAATTGAACCATGCTTCATATTACATTCCCCTCTTTCAGAGACTTGTACAGCATACATCAGCAAAGTAAAGGCTGTGAGAAGTTGAAACAGTTAAGAAATGTGTGTGAAATATTTAATCCTGCTGTTTTCAGTTCCTCACCATGAATTTTTTTTAAACCAAATTTTACATAACCTGTAACATCCCTTTGGGGAATTCTATTATAAACTAATAACTTACTTTAGGCTAGCAGAGTGTATTTGAACTTACTGTCTGTTAACTTAGAGGGAATGATTTGTTTATCAAGGGAAAAAATGTTTAATTCTACAAACTGACATACTCATTAGCATTTTATGGAAATGCATTGAAGAAAGTATTTTAACCTTTGATTATTTGGGTAAGTCAGCTTTCTCTTCTGTTAAAAGATGGGGTTGAACTTGAAGAGTTCTGTAATGCTTCTTCCAGTTCCATTATGGAAAAACTAACATGATTGAAAATAAATGTTATTTTCAAAATGTTCAAAAGTTTATTTAATTTTTAGCCTTTCAGTTTTGTGAACAAAGAGGCTGTTCCTGAAGTTTAGGCTCTGTGTTGGCTTGAAAAAAGGATATCGCTATTTTAAAAGGGCTGAAAGTTTGCCTTTACATACTGTCGAGATTTCCTGCATGAAACACACGAATGTAAAATAATTATGGATTGAACCAGATAGAATCTTAAATTTCTTGCCTGTAAAAGCATTTAGGAGAGAGGCAGTCTCAGGCTGCCATGGCAGCTCCACAAATTGTCAGGAACCCAAGTTCCTTGCAGTCACCACCTGGCCATTAGGGCGTGGCCCTCAGGCCTGCGGCTGGAGAGTGGTATGGAAGAAGGGAAGAAAAAAGGGATGCTTTATTTCTCTTGAAGAGACTCCAGGTATTATTTACATCTCACTGGCCAGAACATAGTCTCATGGCTCTGGCACCCATTGTTTCAACAGGGGCTGAAGTATCATCTTTTATCTAGAGGGCCGTGAGCCCAGCTCAAACCAGGGCTTTTTTACTAAGCCAGATGGATATTAGGAAGTGAGTAGCCATTAGAAATTCACGAAACTCTTGATCTTTCTGTTTTGTCCTTTGATATCACAGTTGGTTGGTGTCTTCTGTTTCCTGGGCATATAGAAGTTGGGGGAGATAGCAAAACGCGGATCTTTCAGTCTTGCTGTTTAAGGGAAGCATCAGTGGGTTTGGTGAGTGTTGGAACTGAGACTGACATTTAGTATGTCTTCAGGCTCTCAGTTTCCTGACAGTCCCCACGTGTCTGCCACCATGGCCCTCTCCTGCTGCCTCCTTTCTTTTTGTTTCATATATTGAATGACTTTCTTTTATACAAATACTATTCATCTTAATTTTCCTTTCTAGACATCTTTATTTTTGCTTCTTTTCCAGATGGACCTAGATGAAGACACTGCTGAAAAATTTTATCAAAAGTTACTGGAACTGGAAAAGCACATTAGGGTCACTATTCAAAAGACAGATAATCAGGTTGGGCACAGTGGCTCATGCCTGTAATTCCAGCACTTTGAGAGGCCAAGGCGGAAGGATCACTTGAGACTAGGAGTTCGAGACCAGCCTGAGAAACATAGTGAGACCCTGTCTCTACAAAAAGAAATAAAAAAATTAGCTGGGTGTGGTGGCATGCATCTGTAGTCCCAACTACTCAGGAGGATGAGGTGGGAGGATCTCTTGAGGCTGGGAGGCGGAGGTTGCAGTGAACTGAGATTGTGCCGTTGCACTCCAGCCTGGGTGACAGCGAGACCCTGTCTCAAAAAATATGTATATTTTTTATATATATATATATACCCACACATATATACACACACACACACACACATATATATATATATTAAAAAAACCAGAACTGACAATGATACTCTGGAACATTGCATACCTTCTTGTACATTCTGGGGCACGTGGATTTCTATCATGTTGGATAATATGCATTTGTAATAAACTATGAACTATGACTGTATTTTCCTTCCTTTTGGAATTATCTCCGAGAATGTGTATGTGTGCATGCTTGTATGCATATGAGAAAAAGATTGGGCCGGGCACAGTGGCTCAAGCCTGTAATCCCAGCACTTTGGGAAGCTGAGGTGGGCAGATCACGAGGTTAGAAGTTTGAGACCAGCCTGGCCAACATGGCAAAAACCCATCTCTACTAAAAATACAAAAATTAGCCGTGTGTGTTGGCGTGCACCTGTAATCTTAGCTTGGGAGACTGAGACAGGAGAATCGCTTGAACGCAGGAAGCAGAGGTTGCAGTGGGCCAGGATCACGGCACTGCACTTCAGCCTGGGTGACAGAGCAAGACTCCATCTCTAAAATTAAAAATCGATAAAGTAAAAATATTAGTTATTCTCTAGAATGGTATCACATCAAAATTATTAGAGTTCTTTTCTGAAAGATTTCATGTAAAAATAAAATCAAGTCACCCAACAGAATATCTGTTTATATTATTCTGTCAACTGGGGTCTAAGCTGTGCTCCATGGGACAAGAGGTGGACTTGAATAATTGTGACACAGGCACACACTGCTCCTTTCTTTGGCCTGCCCCCAGCAAAAGGAAGTACTGCCCACTATTTGAGTGGCAATCGGAACTTTGTTGCTTTACGAGCAATGTTTTTAGCTCTTTTGCACTATTTCTTCCTCCATATGCTGCTTCTGACAATCTTAAAATTGTTAGAATCCTAACAATCCTCATGTGGTGTCCATGTGGTTAATAACAAAAACGAAATAGATACATTTTTGGGTGACTTGAATTATTTTTTTTTTTTAAGTATCTTTTATTGATTCTGAGGGAGTTCATGCTAATATTGGGCCTGATCCTTAACACTATTTACAAATTTGTTTATTAGTGACCAACCTATTTTCATGATCATATCTTAATAGTTGTAAACTTGCAACAAGAAATTATTCACTCGCATTAAGTTTCGATAAAATTTTCTAATTGGGTAACTGCTGGCGTAAGGTACACTATAGTAGTAGAGGAAAGTGGTGAGGATTTAGTTTACATGTATCAGATAATTATGCAAACTTTTTCTTTATAAATTTTCAAAGAACCACACCCCAGGCCTCACTTGATATGAAAAAAAATGATAAAATGCCATATACTTTTACTGTAAATATAACCAATGTAATGCCTGAAATCTAAAGTCAGTAAAATTTTGAATGAGTTAACAAAAGTAAAAAATGATATATAATTTCTTCACAGTTTATGAAGTTTTTGATTAGTTTCTCTAATTCTGTTGTTAAAGGTTTTCTATAAACATTCTATAAGTGAAAATGAGAGCTGCACACCACTGTGTCCACTGTCTTTGGGAGAGAAGGGTGAAGCTGACCTGAAATCGAGCTGTTTTTCACTCTTCCATTCACTCACATTGTAAATTTGGAAGAAGGACATTATGTATTGTGAATCTCAGGTTCCTCATAACGTAAAGTGGAGTGGTTATCTTTTTGCTGCTTCTACTCATGGGTATGGAGTGAACCTTTAATGCAATAATATATGTGAATGAATAAAGAGCTTTTTAACACATTGTAATAATTTTTATTAGAGATTGATAAGCCAGAATGTCATGGTTCAAACACTATAATGTAAGGCACTAAGTGATGACTTCCTATCTGATAGAGTTGGTTCAGTTTTCCAAGTTTGACCCGGTAGGCAGCATCTGATCAAGTGGCAGGGCGTGGTGGGAGGAGTATGGGCTTTAGGGCTGGGCAGACCTTGGATCAGATTTGGATTTAGCCAGTTAACTATCTGTATGGAGTTTGAGACCAGCTGTATAACTTTGGGCAAGTTACTTCAATTTATACCTCAGTTTAATTACATAAAATATTGATGCCAGTGCCTACCTTGCAGAATTGTGATAATATTCTAGTAGGTGCACAGCCAATGCAAATTAAGTACCCAAAAGGAAACTTTAAACATGAACCAATCTTGATTTCACGTCATTGATGATGTGTCCCTAGGTTGGTTCTGTACGTATTTTCTGAGCCATTTTATCCAATTTCCTCAAAACAGGGAGCACTCCCTTCCCACACTCCCAAAGGGTGTACCTGTACAATTGGTTCCTTTCATTAAACAATCCCAGATTTAACTCTTTTTGTATCTGACTGGAGTAGTAGGTTAAAGATTCAACTGCTAGGAAGTTGGATTTCAGCAGATGCCTGATTTCTGCCTTGATCTGGTGCATTTATTTTGATTTCCAATGGGTTTAGTATAATTCATTCGTTCCACAGATGAGCACTGACCACATGCCAGGCACTGTTGGGTTTTGAGGATATAGAAGTTAACATGTGAATGATAGAGTGAGACATCTCAAATGCTTCTAATAAGCATTCTAGAAAGAACTGAGAACATGGGAAAGAGGTAGCATTGAGGAGATGAAGACTGAGGTTTTTTTTTTTTTTTTTTTTTTCTTTTTGTTGTTAGAATTGATGGAAGCCATGATCATTAGATTCAGGAAAAATGGCAAGTTCCAAACAAGATAGACACAGAGAAAGAAAAACCTAGACGTAGTGAAACTGCAGAGAACCAAAGAAACTAACTTGCAAAAACAACTGGAGACAATAGATTACTGACAAAAATCACTGGGTGGATTAGCTAATGCCTGTAATCCCAGCACTTTGGGAGGCCAAGGTGGAAGGATTGCTTAAGGTCAGGAGTTAGAGACCAGCCTGGGCAACATAGTGGGATGCTGTCTTTACCAAAAACAAATCATTTCTTTTTAACATTGTTGGATTTGTTTTGCTAATATTTTATGGAGAATTTATGTGTCTAAGTTCATGAAAGACATTAGCCTGTATTTTTTTTTGGTTTTGACTGGTTTGGTTATTTGGCGATAGCAACCTCAGAAAATGAGCTGAAGTGTTCTTTCATCTTCTGTATTCTGGAAGATATTATGTAACACTGGTGTTAATTCTTCTTTAAATATTTGGTAGAATTCACCAGTGAAACCATCTGGGCCTGGAGATTTAGTTTATGGATCTTGAAAATTATGCATGTAATTGTTAATGATTATAAGACTATTCAGATTTTCTGTTTTATCTTGTGTTTTTGTCATTTGTGCTTTTTAAGGAATTGGTCAATTATTTCTAAGTTTTCAAATTTATTAGCATAAAAGTTGCTTGTAGTAGTATCTTTTTAATGGCTACAAGATCTGCAATGATGTTCTCTAATTCATTCTTGATGTCAGTATCTTCTCTTTTTTTTCTTTTCTTTTTTGTCAGTCTTGCTAGGAGTTTCTCAATTTTATTGGTATTTTCCTAAGAACCAACTTTTGTTTGCTAAATTTTCCCAATTGTTTTCCTATTATCAATTTCACTGACTTCAGCTCAGATCTTTTCTATTTCCTTCCTTCTGCTTGCTTTAGATTTATTTTGCTCTTCTTTCTCTACTTTCTTGCTGTAAAAGCTTAATTATGAACTTCTTCTTAGCACTATTCTAGCCGCATGCCAGATTTTTTGACACATTATTAAGTTGTACATATTTTTATTAATTTCCTTTGATACTTTCTCTTTACTCATGAATTACTTAGAAATGTTGTTTAATATACATATTTTTAGAGATTTAAAAAACTTGTTATTGAGTTCTGACTGTATTTTTGTTATTGATTTCCAGTTTTATTCTATTATAGTCGGAGAACACATTCTGTCTGATTTCTCTACCCTTAAATTTGTTGAGGTTTGTTTTATGGCCCAGGATATGGCCAGCTTTGGTGAATGTCTCATGGGCTCTCCTCCACACTGTGCCTGCTGTTGTTTCTTCTTTGGAATTCTAAGGTAATTTTTTTTTTTGCCTTTTGTCCACAGTTAATAGTTGTTCTTCAGGAAGGATGGTCTGTAGGTGGGGTACGTTGCTATAATTAAAAGCAAGACTTCTCTGCACTTTTTAGTTCCATCTTTATTTCTGTATGATTTTACTTTCTTCTGTTTCTTTCCTGAGTATAATCAGTTTTTGTTTTATTTCTTCCTGTTCTTTGTCTATTTCTGTTTTTAAAATTTTTGATGCATGGTATTTTTTAATGTCGCCAAATGCTTGTTTAAGGATATTTAATTCTGTTTCATTGGGTTAGTATTTTCTTCTCCCTTGTAGTTGTTTTCTTGGGCATGGGGGATGGTGGTTATTGTAGTTGTCAACTCAAACATTTTTTTTTTTTTCCGTCATTTTGTTTGCTTCACTTCTCAGCAAAGCCTTCTGGTCACCCAGTCTAAAATTTCATCATGCCCCTCATATGTTCTCATCTTTCTTATCTACCTTTTTTTTTCCTTTTTGCTGCTTATTACTATCTAACATATGTATTTTACTTATCTTGTCTATTGCCTTTCAACCTACCAAAGTATAAGCTCCAAGATGATTGGGACTTTTAAAAACATTGTTTCTCTACTATTAGTGCAAGGCATATAGTAGGCACTCGATTACTGCTTGTTGTATAAATAAATACATGAACAATTGATTAAACAAAGGTTTATTTTAATAAAGGTATCATGCTCCTTGACATTTATAGCCTTAATCAACTTTTTTTGTTATAGCCATATTGAAAAAAAAAAACAAACAAACTCTATCACAATTTCGATCTTAATTTGAAGTGGTGTTTGCAGTACCAAGTCAAGAGTTTATTGAGTTTCTGTCTGCTGTCATTGTCATGTTAGAATATTGCCTTGTGCTGATACAATTCCTTCTCATGAAAAACAAAAAATACAAAGAACAACAAGAATGTAGAATGAGCCTTATTCCTACTAATGGAACTCCACACAATAATCCATATTTCTTGTCTGGCACCTGCAAATGTGAACAAATTTCATTATCTGACAAGTCTTGTTTACTTATTATGTTTAATAACCATGACAATATACATAAAGGACTGTTGAAAATGGAGAGTAATCCACTGGGTTAAAGAGAGCTCATCTCACCATTGCTGGAGGTTATTCCTCACTGTCTCATTTGACTCCTATTTCAAAGAAGGGAATTATAGGAGGTTTTAGAGCGGTTTATAGTGGAAAAGAAAAATCTCAGAGACTGGATGTTCGAGAAACATTTTTTGTTAGTGACTCATAAATAGGTTTAAATGTGGGTAGATGACACAGATGATGCTTTAGATATAGGCTATGCATGGATTTATTTTCTTTCTTAGGCTAGGAAGTAACACTATCCCACTCTGCTGTATTTAACAGTCAAAATGATTCTATATTCTCTGTATCTTTGATTGCAAAGTGATCTCTATTTATAACTATCATTTATATTCCACATTTGAAAGAAATATATTCACAAGCACCCAGGAAAAATGACTTATTATATGTGCCATATGAGTAAGAATTGATTACTTATCATTTATAACAATGTAAAAAATCCTATCCCACACATTAGTTGTGAGCCAGGCCAGATAAATGGGGTTTTGAAAAGAAGAGAGATGAATGATAGGAGGGAAAGGAAACAAAGGGAGAGTGTTTGAGTCAAGGCAGTATTTTCCCCCTGCTTGAAACTGGAGGCAACTTCATTCCAGAGACATCTACAGAGAACTACAAGTTCTCTGTTATAAGGGGCTAAAAATAAATCATTTTATTCTTGGCCTTCAAGGACTTAGTTCAGGCACATGATGGGAATTAGAGCTAGATTTTAAAGTTCAGGGTAGAAGTGGATGAAAAAAATAGCAAATAATCAGCCACAGATAGATCTGTCAGATTCTTATCGAGAAAATGGATGAATGGTTATCCAGGAATAGGGTTATCATGACCAGGTGATGCTTCTCCATGTCCAGAAACTAAAATATCTACATCAACACAACAAAAATCAAGATGAAAACATAGGAGTTATTGAAAGTAAAACCAAGGGCTTAATTTGATTAGTCCACCAAACTTATCCTGCCCTGCTTGCTTTTGGTTGTTTGCCTTTTGCTTTTGTTTTTGTTTTTCCCTGAAGCTGAAGGCATGGTAGCTGAAGGCTGCACCACTGAATGCTGTACCTAACCTTCACTGGCTACCTTACAGATAACGTAAGTCACATGATAGTGGTCATTTCAGTTGTTTTTTAGGAACTTAGGGCAGCTCCTGTCCAGATCAAACCAGTTGAGACCATGTACCCTTCAACTAGGCATGTGTACATACCTGAGAGGGAGCCTTTTGGTGTCAGAGGCAAAAACACCATTCTCAGATCATGCTAATGCTGATCTGAGACATATATCCTGTGAAATGCCATGGACCCCGATAATGCTGGCATAGATCACTGATTACCTCATTTTTACCCACTGCCATTCACCTTTCCCCATGTCTTAGACCACCCACTTCTCTAATCCATAAATATTTCCTATCTTTGGGGAGGCGGATTTGAGAGCTGTTGTCCCACCTCCTTGCTGGGATGTCTAATTAATCTTTTCTTTTGCAAAAACCCATTGCCCCAGTAATTTATTTACTGTGCAGGTAGAATGAACCTGGCTGGTATCAAAAGTACACAAAGAGACCTCAACAAAATGATAGTATCATGATAACTGTCCTATACATAATACATTTTAATAAATGCATGATTTCTTCAGTCATCTA